GGTTCCCATATCCTGTTAAGAGGGAAAATTATTTCATGTGAGAAATCTGTCAGGAAATGCTGTTCCTAAAATGCACACAAACAAAAACTGTTTTAAATTCTTTTAAATCCCTTTGGGGGGGGAAACTACTCAAGAGAGGAACTCACAGTGGGAGTGCTCTGATATTTACCTGTGAAAAGAATTTGGCATGTTAGATTTGGAAGTTGGCAACCTCTTGACTGTTGATGGTTCAGTACTTAACCCTTTTGTCTTAAGTAGCCCCTGGAGCAAAGGACACATTAAGGGTGATTTCCTTCAATGGTTCCAAGTTTTACATAAAGAAATTTGGATAAGTTTCTCCCTGCAGCCCACACTCTCCAAACCTCCTCTCCTTTTTTTAAAAGGTGATCTAGCCTCTGTGCATGTGCAGAGTTCATGTTTCAGCAAATCTTTTATACAATTAAAAGTGTTGCATCTTTTGGCTAAATTGCCATTCGAATATAGGAAGGGAAGGGTAAGGAGTAGATTTTAAAAAAAATAGGGTTAGATTTAAAACAAAACAAGAAACTCAGCAATTCAAATATTCACCAAAGCTAGCAATAGAAGTTGGTCAAATTAAATTTCTGCTAACTCAGTTCTAAGGGATCATGTTTCCTGCAGCCCAAGCAAAGGGCGTGCCTCCTTTATGTACAGGAAATTGAGTGCAGGTCTGTATTAAAAAATCTGGGCTATCATTATTTTGTGTGCTCCCCCTCTGGTCATTCGCGGAACAATCACCCGCTCTCTTATTTATGAGTAAAAATGGCCAGAGAGTCAGAATTCATAGGATCTTTAACATTCTCAGTCATTTCAGCCCTACCATTTGCAGACAAAATTTTCTGCCCTTTATTTACAGGATGGTCAAGGCTCATTCTGCTTGATTATGAATTTGTATGTGCTTAAACTTTGAATAGACTTTGAAGTCTAATTTTTTAAAATAATAGACAAAATGGTAAACACTGTAATCACTCAAATGCTTGATATTACAAGCTCTGTTTCAAAAACATCACGGCTTTCACCTCTCACCTTTTAAAACTTTATTCTACCAATCATTCCATTTTTCTGTACCAAAAAGCAAAGCTGGGCTGAACTTCAACCCATCACCATACACCAGAATTTAAAAATTACCCTCCAATGCTTTGCAGACTCATTGCCTTCCACATAGCCATAACATTGGGAGAGTTGGAATGGACCCTGGGGGTCACCTAGTCCAACCCTAAAATACAGGGTTCATCGCATGTTTTGCACTACCAGAGACACACACACATACTTATGTGCACAGACACAACTGGGGAAGGGAACACAACAACACTTTTCTCTCAGAAGGAGACCTACCTAAGGCTTAATGAAATACAGGGAGACTCTACAGACACTGCATTTTAGCTTACGAGAGCATTTTGTGCTCAACTAGGCTGGTTGCAGCAGAAACATTAGGCGAACTTCACAGCACATTCCAAAGTAGACTAGAACACGGCTGTAGACTCACAAACTCAAAAGTTGCAACAAAACATCATTTACCATCAGACTTAAAATCACCCTCCTCCCTTAAGCTATAGGGGGAAGGTGGGTAATCCTCCTCTCAGAACACAAGCAAGCACATATGCAGGATTTATTTTCTTTCTACCACTTGGAGGAAGACTCTCTTTTGGAGCCTCTCTCAAATAACAAACATTTGCACACCTCATTCTCAATTTGTCATGTTTAAGATTGATAAGGCCCAACATGGTTTCCCTAGATTAAAATTTTGAAGCAAGCTTGCAATTTAAAAACTATGTGCACTTAAGAACATAGTCTGTGGATGCTGAAGCCAATGTAAACACAAACCCTTTAAATATCTTAAACCTTTGAGTACATCTCTTATTCATTTATAGAGAAACTAAGATTTCTAATGCGTGTGCTCTCAGGCTGCGTTATTATTATATCTACTGCCTTCTGAGCACCATTAAGTTTACGGTTTCAGGTTCTGGCTTTAGGCTATAGTTTAACAACACAAATTTGATGTGCTCAGCTCTCCCTAAGGGTTCGCATCCTGATTTTGTTGAAGGATCCCTGAGGTGGGGTGGCCGCTGTGCCTTGGGTTCCAGGTGGTGGGCCTAAGCCACCCACAATTTGGGTGTCTCACAATTTGGACTTGGAAAGACCATTTTGCCCCTTTAAATCCCCCCCCCCCCAGTTGGAGATGACAAACTGGAGGGGTGTATCAGAATCCTCTCTGGGGCAAAAAGGCTTCACGTAAGCTTTGTTGCCAGGAGAAGTCCAGCTAGGGTGTTTAGAAGAGTGAGCTCCCATTTCCCTTTAATAATGGGGGGGGGGGGCGTTGCTCAATAACAAGCTACACAAGGAGATACATAAACAGAGATACAAGAGAAGGACAAAGAGGGAGGGGAAGAGAAAAGAATATCCTATCAGTATTATTCAGTCTAACACTCAAGTGCCCCTCTTGGCCCTTTCTGGGCAAAATTCCGATGGATCGGACCGGAGAAGGCTAGTAGAAATCCAAAGGCAATCCCTGCCTACAACTAAAACCACCGGCAACTAGCCTGGAAACCACGGGTCTCTTAACCCGGAAAAACCATGGATCTGGAATTCACTCAGCGCTGCTCACAAAACTAATCCTAGTGCGGGGCCCCGTCTTCTTCCCAAACCTCCTGCTCTACCATCCATGACAGCCTCCTGCCTGATCTTAGAACTATGTTCATAATTCCCTATTGGACGCTTGCACAATGCAATGCCAGATTGAGGTTCGAGAAGACAAAGGTTTGAAAGGAAGGAAATGACCTTGCGTTCTCATATACACGAGTCATCCCCAACAAGGGTCATCGTGCCAGAGGTGCAGCTTCATTTGTTTTTAGGTTTGTTTTTTAGCCACAGGAGAGAGAGAGATTTTCCACGACCCTTCCAACCACACTCCGAGAGAAGGCGTCGAGGAGAGAAAAAGAGATTTTGCATGATCCCTTTGGCCACGCTCTGAGGTAGGGAATCGGGAGAGAGAGAGAGAAAATGACTTCCACGACCCTTCTGGCTACGCTCCGAGAGAAGGCGTTGAGGAGAGAAAAAAAGAGATTTTCCACGATCCCTTTGGCCACGCTCTGAGGAAGGGAATCGGGAAAGAGAGAGAGAGAGAAAAGGACTTCCACGACCCTTCTGGCCACACTCCGAGAGAAGGCGTCAAGGAGGGGAAAAAAGTTCAGCTGTCGTGGAGACGTTATCCTTCCACCCTCCTCCCGATGCACTAATTTCAAACGTCCTCAAATGTCCTTCATGGATCCCGGGATCCTTTTCTTTGGCCGGCTTGACCTTGCCTTTGCTCCCCTGGTTGAGCTTTCTGGTGATGATTGATTACCGCCCGCAAAGAGGAGGCAGGGAGAGGAAAAAGGATCCCTGGGCTAAGGTTGCCCAGTGGCGCCCGATCCCCTCTATCTCCCCCCTCACCTTCACAGGAGAACCAAGAGTCCCTGAGCACGGTCGCCAAACTGTTAACGGAGGAATCCAAGGGCTCCCTTGGGCAAAAAAACAAAGACACCAACCAGGACAATCTGGAGCAAAACAGCAGCCTGTAGGCTTGGACCTTATTGGAAACTGTCATGACAGGATTCCAACCAATAAGATGAAGCAAAATGAAAGCCCCGAACAAAAGAAGACCCCAACTTTTATTAGTTACTAATCCCCCAAACTACACCCCTAAGACTACATCACAAAAAGGAGGAGTTGAGGGAGGAGTTGTGGAGGTAACCAGAGTATCTTGTCACCTGGCTGGTTCCTCCTTTCCCCCCTCCCCATGAGTACTTTCCAGGTGACAAAGGGGAGTTTGCAGTTTCCTGCCCCCAGAGGGAAGAGCTGATCATTATCCTTTGTTCCAGTCCGTGCTGAATCCACTTCTATATGCAAGTTCTTTGTGACCTTGATGGTCTTCTGTCTAGGACCATCAGGGTTGGCATAGCAACTGGGCAGGTCTCCTGTGTATGTGCTGGTATGCTCAAGGGATTATGGCTGCCCTGTATCAAACCTTCCCCATTTTGTAGTCCTTCCTTCATGGAGTAGAATAAAAGTGGAACGGTGCAGATCCAATGTATGGTTGATTTTCTATGAATTTATAACAGAAGCGTAGCGTATGTAGTGTGTGAATGTGTGTGTCAAGTTTGTACAAACTGAATGAGTGGAGGGGGGGGTTTCCTGCGACAAAAGGACAGAAGTATTAACATACTGTATGCAGCGTGAATGCTTTACTTTTCCATTTCTCTGCAGATACATATGCAACTTTCCTCAGAAACAATTTTTCCCCTGGTTATTTTGCTGGAATGAAAATCAGGTGTTTTACAAAACGTGTGTGTTGCCTGCCCAGCCCTAAGGTACCTCAAAGTTACCATTTCCCATTCTACCCTCCCCAACTACCAGCCCTAGATATGGAATGTTTCTCAGAGGCACCTCCTTAATCCAATCCATGCACTGAATTTCCTCAACTTCAAAATCACCATTTTCAAATTTTGTTCAGCAACCAAGCTACTGAGTAGGCATTTTTGAAGCTATTACTTTATCTTTCTTTGTAATACTGCTGCAACCTTAATAAAATTAGACCACTCCACATCTGTCTAAAGCCCTTTGCAGAGATTCAGTTTTTAGTACGTGCAGTAAAAGTATGGCTGCGGCATCTTTAAAAAAGCACCTTTCCTCAAGGTTTTCACTGCTGCTGCTCAGATTGCACTTCCTCAGCACTGTATTTTCCATCTGGGAAAATATGACTCTTATCCCACGGAATTCATATCCTACAAGTGCAGCTGGCATATGGTTGCGTTCAGTTGTAACAAGAACCTATTGCTGTAATACGAATAGTGAGCAATACACCTCCACCCACAATGCAAACATAATGTTGTGACTTTAAGACATTTTAAATGCTCATTGTATCACATCTGATGTATTTCAGAAACTTGTGCACACAAGACGTTTAGACATTCTATTTGTTAAAGTGATTATGAATTAGACTAGAGCCATTGATATAGTTTTATTTAAAATAATTTAGCAATTTCCTTCTTATATACATAATTGCATATAACGTACAACATGTACAGTACAGTACACATACACAGTGCCCAGCAATTTGTGTATTGTATGTAGGATGGGGTGAGGAGGGGAGAATTCAGGAATCAAAGATAGCCAGTTAGTCATTTCACACTATGATCATGTCATTTCAACTAACAACTGAGAAAAGTAAACAAAATGGGGGTGGGGGGAGAGAGACAAAAATGTGCAGGAAATAAACAATGCAACAAAGGAATAAAGGTATTATGACAAATCACTCATCCAAAAGACCACTTCCCCTCTCCATGTGAATATATGGTTTAAAAAGAGTACTTTCCAGATTTTCAATGGCTAGTTAACTCTCACAAGCTCTAACAGATGCTCTTTTCACTCTACGCTCTCAAGGACCAGCCTGACACTATACTTTGCTTGAGGACAGGTATGCCTTTCTCCTTTCCTTCTCACTTTTAGTGTGGGTCTGTTGCAAAATTGTCACACTCCCTTTAGGCTTTTGGAGTAGTTAGGGATTCTTTTACTCTTTAGATCAAGGTGTGTATGTATGCTGCCTGCTTATATTGTATTTTTACTGCCTTAAGCAGCTTCTATATACCCTATCACTTTCATTTCTAGTAAGCAATATTTTTTTTAAATTCCTCTTGGATGCTAATTTCTTGGGGCATAAAGATAAGGGTAAACACATACTCATAATGGGCACATGTTGTATCTCCAAAAAATACGCTGAACTTCTTGTAGTGTGGAATACATGTGAGAGCTGGATATGCATGTGGGTTCAGACACAGACCTTGTAGCCACACTTCCATGGATGCTGAAGGCATACCTCTACTTTGCGTATTTTCCTGCTCCCTCCTGTACTGGACAAGTATAAGCTACCAGGTACACAGATGTTGCAGTGGTATATATGACCTGCCAGGACAGCAGGATCATGGGATCGCTCAACTATTTACAGAAAATACTGTACACAATTTCACATGGCTATATTCAAAATTTTCAAGTTTCAAAGTTTGCTCATTTCATAGCTAAAATAAATTAGAATCCAATTGTATATTATTTAAAAGCTAAGAATCTGGGAATGTTTTCTATAAAACTAATTTGGACTGTATATACCTGATCTCACTGTAAATTAGCTAACTATACCAACCACTGTTCAAGAAAAAAAGGGGGGTATGATTTCATATAACGTATGTTCTTGACATCAGTCATTTTTTAAAATAACAGGTACAAGACACTGATATAAAGCAATAAAATAAAGTATAGTAACATATATTTAAAAATGGATGTAAATGAAGATCCAATATGCCTGGTCTATGTCCACTACTTTATCTTCAGATTGCTGGTCCAATTCTTCCCATTTAAGCAGCGCTATCAAAAAAGGCAATCAATGCTTTTTGATCATAACTTCCCAAAATTTCCAGGAGAAGGGGAACTTTGGTTTTCACATTAGTGCCTTTGAATTTAAATTTATCTATGAACAGATCTGTAATCATACCTGGAAGAAAAAATGCAAACACTTATTATTTTGACAAATTGGTGTTTCCTTTTAAATCGAGAAAAGTAATATTTATGATAGAAGACTTTGGATATTTAGAGTCCGTGTTAATAATAAGTATTTATTTTAGAATGGTTTGCAACACATGCAGCATGTGGTAAAATATCTAGTGAAATGGAGCTGGGTGTCAGAAATCTGAGTGAAATCAAGAGTAATATAGAACAAATGAAATAAACTTTAGTTTACTTCAATACAAGGTGTTCTGTAGCCAATATTTCCATAGATTTATTGGTACATCTCTGTGCATCAGCAGTCCTTACTGCATTTATTTTTCGTAAAATCCATCTCTATAATCTATAACTGTGCCTCTGTATTGCCAAAGGAGAAACATGTATTTAAAGGAAACACACATAAATATGTGTTTCTCCTTTGGCACTACAGAGGCACAATAATACTATAGAATTAAAATTACGCACATAAATTCATTGACACAGTCATTCAGAGTCTGTGTACAATTTGCTATCTGGGCTTTTGCAATCATTTTCATTCAGGATAAGATCTGTATATGAAATATATGCATTATTGGTGGTCTGATTCCTCCTTAGAAATGAAAGGTAAAGGTGATTGTACTAAGATCATGTGCACATCAGAGCTTTTGCATGGGAAGTCTCTTATGTTGTACAGAACTACCACCCTAGAAACAGACCTCTCTTTTCACAAGATAAGATTTAACAAGAATGGAAAAACAATACTACAGAAAATTAGGAAAACTGTGTTAATGAACCAACCATAAAGTCTTTCAAGAGATGTAGGTTGTTTTTTGTGTTCTTTTAGCAGCTCCTCTGCCTCCTCCAAAATGCTGCGGTACTCTGGAATCAGGAAGTCTGTATTTCCTTCATGAGCCTGCAATTCCTTAAATTGATGTTAATAAAATGTTAAGACAGTTACAAACCCTCTAAACCTGACAGAAAAGCTTAAAGATGCATGGCTACACAATGACATAGAAAAGAGATAGGCTAGATTTTTGCCAGCTTTTAGCCCAGGTGATGTTCATAATCCTTTGCTAAGAGCCTCCATCTTTAGCCACAAAGAGGATTTCCTTCTATTACTGTCCTTTTCTACAACAATTAAATAAAAATCAACTTTCCACAAAAGCATATTCCAATTCCTTTCTGTACAGTTCAATATAATTTATATCTGCATGCTATTACTTACCGTATTTTTTGCTCTATAAGACTCACTTTTTCCCTCCTAAAAAGTAAGGGGAAATGTGTGTGCGTCTTATGGAGCGAATGCAGGCTGCGCAGCTATCCCAGAAGCCAGAACAGCAAGAGGAATTGCTGCTTTCATTGCACAGCAATCCCGCTTGCTGTTCTGGCTTCTGAGATTCAGAATATTTTTTTTCTTGTTTTCCTCCTCCAAAAACTAGGTGCGTCTTGTGGTCTGGTGCGTCTTATAGAGCAAAAAATACGGTATATGGTTTATAGTACTTGTGTGCAGGAAAAAATGTCCCATTTGGCCTCTTCTTATGGGGATGGGTAACTCCCATAATCTCCGAGCACTGACCATTCTGGCTGGGGTTGATGGGAGTTGAGAATCCGAAAGGTTCCCCATCCCAGATCTAGAAGTAGATTTGGTCTGCATGAGAGTGAGCAAATAGATTTCATGTCCCGATAGGACCAAAGTGCTACTGGTTGGAAGTTCAGCTGATCTAAGTGTGATTATTAATCTTGGGTTCCTTAAAACCCTCCTTAATAGAGTTCAAAAGCAAACAAACATGAAAAACCACTACACTCCATAGTACTTGTAATTTTGCAACTGACAAAAGACTTACTTTTAAAGCATCCAACAGTTCAACCTTTTTAGCCAACATTAGCTGGTATTCTAATTTTGGGTGGATTAGCTTTAAGGTGTGGTTCACAGATACTTCATTTATATCTAGAAGATCACCACAAGAAAGCAACTCATTAGTTTGTTAACTTTTATGCATTTCTAAGTATCCCAAGAAGAAGAGAATTAAGAATTCTTACCACATGATATATTGAGATTAATTTTCCTTTTAGTGGCTTCTTTAGAGAGCACATCCTTTAAAATGGATATTGTGGATATATTGTCAGATTTGAAGTAGCCCTCGCCTTTCCTATACAGAAGATGTTAGAAATTAACAACTGGTAAAAACTGTGCCAGCCTTTACTTCCTACAAGGTTCAAACTCATCCAGAGATATTAAAAATACACAATCCCATCTTTCTAGTTTCTCCTCATACAGTTCCTCATACAGTTCCACTATAAATACCCTGACTTATATTTGGAGGTCTGAACAGAATTATACTAATTCTAAATAGTTTAAATAGTAAGCTGTTGAATGTATCTCTGGTAGTTTCTCAGTCTTATCCTAGAAACCTAAGACAACTCTCACTCACAAAGGTAAGGAACCTGTGGCCCTCTAGATGTTATATACTCAAAAGTTCTATAGAATTCAAAGGGGCTTATTACCAGGTAAGTGAGATTACAATTGCAGCCTAAAGATATTTAGGGCTAAGTTGTACATAAAAAAGGAAATGTCAGAGATAACGTAAGTGAAAAGAAAAAGCTGGACGTTTTTGAATGCAATGTCCTGAACAAGCATGCTTTACTTGGATCTACTTTTCGGCATTTTATATATTGCCTTTCAAACGAAACCAGCATGTTTCAGGAACTGTGTTTCATTTTACCGGTAAGTACATTCAAGTTGTGTATCCAAAAAGGTGTTCTGAAAGTAGAAGCTGACACTCTCCCCCACTGGTGTCTTGTCGGGAACTTCAGGCAAGCAAAACACCACCCAGGAGTGAACTTCAGCAAAGCTGAACTGGCCTTTGAGGGTTAGTGTATTCATGGGTCTGAATAAAAAAATATATAAAAAAAGCATTTTGTTACAAAAGAGTATCTACCATCAGAAACAAAGGCTACTTTCTAATGGTACAGCAAAACAATGTGAGGTTTCTTTGGCTTGATCTGTGAGAGCCATAACCTTCAAGAACTAACTTGGAATGTTAATCTTTATACTTTTTGCATTTTGCTAAGTTTTAGCAGGACGATGTTCTCCCTACAAAGATAACACTCAACATCTACACAAATTCCCATGAACAGGATCTAGGAGATCCATCAAATCAACCACCTTACTCCGATGGAAGAAACTCCTTAGTTTGAGAAAACTCCTCTAAATCCAGCCCCTGTATTTTCATTGTAGATGCTGCAGGCGTGCTTCTGGGTTCAACTAAGCACCGCCTGGAAATGCAATCAAATCCTCTATTCAAATTTAAACAAGCCAGTTGTTCTCAAAAATACCTGTCACGATCAATACAATGCGTCCTCTGATGAAGTGAAAGTGGCTTAATCTGATACTGCCGAACTTGACAGGTTTTTGGTTGAACTCTTGGAGTTACATATGCTTGCAGAGTCCCGTACCGACCTTCAATTGATAGAATCTGTCCATGGAAGGGGGGAAGGAAAGGTGAACTAACTTTCATTTTAGATGACTTCATAATTACCTGTTCTAGCAGATGGGTACCACCTTTATCCAGCAAAACACAAAGACATTTTCAAAACATCTATTTAACCATTTGTAAAATACTAAAATTAAATCCAAAAGCAGTCCCAATAAATTCAGTGAGTTTCTTCTAGGTAGCCGGCAGCCTTAACAACCGTCACATCTAACTTTATCTCAGACTAACACTGGAAAAATGCCATGTAGAAGGCTTACGACTCCTATGGTGTGAGCATTTTAAAGTGTGCTTCATGTGTTTCTGTTATCTCACTGGTAGATCTGAGTGCTATTCATCTTTCCTCTGGAAAAAAAAAAGCAGTAAGCAAGCCTCAAACTTCACTCCCTCTCTTCAACCAGAGGAGGGTTGAGTGAATCACAACAGCTTAGAAGTGGAGCTGCAGCCTGCATTGTCATTCATGTAAACTGTACTAAAAGAGGCTTTAGAATTTATACTTTAGTGTCACCATAATCACATCTGCAATCTCCCTAAATGAAGATGTAAAACTAAACCATTCTATTGATTTTGTTAAAATTTATCTTGAAATCACTGTGTTCTCAACTCCATTTTCATCTGAAATGTGAATACTGAAAACTTATTCTAAGCACTTTTCATTCTAACACCACTGTATTACCCATACCTTCCTGAGAAATTTATTAACCTTGGTGTCTGGCAAACAGCCATAAAGAATGATGCTACATCAGCACACTTGGCTAATATATCTTATAAAGAACTAGGGAACTTTGTGACAATTCACCCACACCATTATAAAATGGGAGTACTTTCAGAGGTCATCTTGGTATCTCTCACTGTACTGAAAGGGGATTAAACTTGCAATAATCTATTTTTAATACATGTTCAAATTATTTTATTCTTATTACAAATTGGTAGGGGACTTTTTGTTGTGTGAAGCAATTCATACACTCAATAAACCTATCCAATGGGCTAAACCTTATTTCTAAAAATACAAATTTATCACAAACTATCCTATAGTGCAATCCAATGCATATCTACTCAGTCCTCTGGGCTTCATCTAGGTACAAGGGTACAGGATTGCATTCAAAGACTTCCATTTTATACCTCATTGTTTAGTAGCTTATAACAAGACATCATGGTAAACAATTTCTCTCCACACCACAACAGTCTTTAATTGAAAATAGAAATATACAGTAATTCATGAATCAAAACAATCAATACTTGTTTCTGTCTTCTTTTAAATAGAAAAATCATTAATCTCTGTTTTCACAGATGTTCCTACCCAGGATCTTTACCACCACTGCTGCTCTTTGGATAGGTTTTAAAGTTCACACACTCAACGAACATGTTTAATCATAATTTATATTTAAAATATATAAGCATTCCTATATTTTACCTTAAGCTCCAACCTTGTGGTATTTACTTGACAGCGATATGTGGCAAGGAGGAAGTTGCCATTTGGCTGTGGAACATGAAGATTGTGAAATAACATACTGAGACACAGCAATAAAGTCTCATTTTTAAATTTTATTTACAACTAAAGCAGTTTAAGTCATTTTCTACAAGAATCAGTAGAACGTTTTCTGTATGCTTACAATATAGGCATATGTATCGTTACTCAAAAATAAATCCCACTGAGTTCAATGGATTTATTCCCATTAAGTAAAGGCTTGCAGCCTTACTTACAAATTTTAAAAGAAAACTAGGAAAGTTGTTCTAAAAATTGTTTTTTTAAAAAAAAAACCTAGGCACCCTGCGCTCTACGTGAGAAAGGAAGAACAAACAAACAAACAAACAAACAAACAAACAAAGTAGCAACAACAATTACCATCATCATCTTAACTCTCTGCAATATGAATTCAGCACCAAAGCAGAAAACCTATAGCTGGATGCTCATTGAGTGAAAAAGTTACAAAAATGTTAAAATCATAAAGGTCTGATATAATAAATTAGGTTGCAATCTTATGCAAATTTACATGGAACCAAGCACCATTTGACACAACTGGCCTTACTTACAAGTGAGCATACATAGGATTGCTTAAATCCTAGGCATGTTTATTATTTAGTAGAATCATAGAATCATAGAGTTGGAAGAGACCACAAGGGCCATCGAGTCCAACCCCCTGCCAAGCAGGAAACACCATCAGAGCACTCCTGACATATGGTTGTCAAGCCTCTGCTTAAAGACCTCAAGTAAGGGATTTTTATCCCACTCTTCAGAAATGTCCTCTCTGTCAGCTTCAACAATTAAACTTCACTAGAACACACTCCATGAAATTAAAAGCTGATATTCAGCTTAAGCGTTTGGAACTATGTAGAAAAGATCTGGCATTTTACATACCTCTGATTCGCAGTCAACAACACTAACCACAGCTGAATTTTTATCCACATCCTTTAGATCTATTGGAACATCACACTATGGAGAGAAACAGTAGCAGGTAATACAAAAGGTCAACATGTGGATGTTTCAAGTATACTTTCTCAATTTACATAAGTTATCTTCCCTGAGAAATTTTACAGGAAAAATATTATTATGGTAAAAATAAGTATTAGGTAACCATCCATCCCATGGAACACTTCAGAACTCAAAAATGATGCACACAGTAGTAAGGAAAAGGTGTATATGATGTAAAAGCACAAAAAGGAGCCAGTTTCAAAAAAGGAATTGACTGTCATCAAAACAAGTCCAAACCACACAGATTACTAGCAAATGCTTAGTGCAGATATAGTTTGAAATCCTAATCGTATTGTTCCCTTGGAAGTAAATGGGTGGGATAAAAGCATGTATTAGTGGTGCATGATTGTAGCCAAAGAGCACAATCCGAAGAAAGTTAAGTGCATCCAGATCTCACTGAAAAATATTTTAAACATCCTTATGGTGTACTCAACTTTCTGCACATTGCACCAATAACTTCAGCATGTGTCTTTGAAAAGTTAGTGCTTGTGTTGACTTCTACATAGCCTGAAGGGAATGAGCCCATCTCACCCAGTTACAGTCATTCTGCACAAGTGCAAGTTTCAGAGAAAAGTTAGTGCATACTATTAAATGGTATTCCACTTAGTGAAATTATCTAATTTAATATAAAAACAAGCTAACACATCTTTAATTTTAAAAATAAAATCAAAGTTTCCAAATACCCAAGTCTACAAAGTTATTCTAAAGAATGTCTCACCTGAAGCAAGACAGTATCAATTGCTGCCTGGACTTCTAAAACAAGGCTGTAGCTTGCATCATCTCTATTTAATGTAAACTTATCATTTATGCTGAAGGTTGGGACTGCTGACACAGCAGTGCTGGACTGAGAGGACTGCTGGTATTTTTCACGTTCATGAAGTACCTTGATCTGTAGCTGTTCCAATTCATTCCTATGGCAAACAACAGAATGGTAGGCTAAAAAAGCTGCTCTAGATAACAAACTGATGCCTGGAAAACAGTTTTTATCTTGATATTTTCCATCTAGACTGAAAAAAATGTTTTCAGAAATAATTCCACAAATACTGGATATAAATGTATTATCAAAGTTCTGGTCCTAAAAAAAATATTCGGATGAAAAGTGCATAATAGGGTTAAAGCAACAGAACTTCATTTTCTATATTTTTTTCCTAATGCTTGTTTTCCTTTACTTCCTTACTTTGACACCATCTTTCAAAAATTGTTCAAGTCAGTGGACAGAACAAATATGTTTTGGTAACATCTGTTCAGTTCTACAGCTTACTAAAATTTATCTGAGGTAACAATTTTTTGATTTTTTGCTTTATTTAAAAAACAGGGTCTCTTCCTATGAAATGTCACAAAGGGATCAAGAAGCCCAGTCCCAGTAGAATGTCAGTTCACAGGTCTCCACTAACTTACCAAACTGGCACTGCAACTTATATACTATCTATTTTAAGCCTGAAAAAGGCAGAAAGCATCTCTTTCAGTACATCCACATACAGTGGTGCCCCGCAAGACGAATGCCTCGCAAGACGGAAAACCCGCTAGACGAAAGGGTTTTCCGTTTTTGAGTTGCTTCGCAGGACGAATTTCCCTATGGGCTTGCTTCACAAGACGAAACTGTCTTGCGAGTCTTGAGATTTTTTTCCGCTTTCCCCCCCCTTTTTCTAAGCCGCTAAGCCGCTAAGCCTTTAATAGCCGCTAAACCGCTAATAGCGCTAATCCGCTAAGCCGCTAATAGGGTTGCTTCGCAAGACGAAAAAACCGCTAGACACTCGCGGAACGGATTAATTTCGTCTTGCGAGGCACCACTGTAGTAGCAATTTTGCACTAGAAGGGTGAAAATTACAGGGATGCTTACAGGAAACCAAACAATGTAATGAAATGCACATAGCTGAAACTATGATACTATTAATGAATTGCTGTACTATCACAAAGATCCTACTGGAAATGTTGTAAGTTAACTGATGTATAGTTATAACCCAGCAGGTAAGGTTAAATATCTGCTCCGGATCTGCACCAGCATAAGGCAAAGATTGCTATAGTATTTTCTCTTTTGCATTGTCTTAAAACAATTTATTACCTTAAGGACAAAACCTTGTTCTGCATTTCATGAGTCATCTTTAAGCCATCCCCTGATCCACATTCTCTGTGGGTAGGCTCTGTAGTCAGTCCTGACACCCACCCTAAAAGGAAGATATGAACAATTATGAAAAAGTTTTCCAGATGGGTTATGAAGGTAACACTGTCAGAGGCTCTAACCAGGATCCTTAGGGTCTGAAACTAAGAACCAGCACAGTGAACTATCATAGAAACCTGGAATAGCTCAGTTGGTAGAGTACAAGGCTCTTAATCTCAGGGTTGTGGGTTCGAGCCCCATGTTGGGGAAAAGATTCCTGCATTGCAGGGGGTTGGACTAGATGACCCTCGTAGTCCCTTCCAGTTCTGCAACTCTATAATTCTATGGACTGTTCATATGCAGGGATAAAAACCTCCATCAAGTTGAAAAGGACATACAACACCAGCAACTGGTATGCAGATGAAGCCCCTTCAATGGCCCCAGCCCTGGTCAGCAGAGCACTATACTATCTGATTGCTGTACATCCAGGGCCCAGATTCCCAAGTTAAGCTACTGACTTCAGGGAATATGAGCCAGAGAACACATTCTATGACTCCATTGTTATTTTTTAAAAAAATTCCTGTTAAATGTATAAAAATTCCAGATATTTAGAAACATTTAAAAAAATAACCTGAATATGTTGATGTTATGATCTCATCATAGCCCTCTTTCCCAACACAGCCACCTTGAACAGATGTGACACTTTCTGACAAGGCCTAAAAATAAGACAGAAGAAGACTTGAAGCATAATACGTGTGTTAGATTCTATTTAATCTTTAAAAATGGTATCCGTTGAGAAAAAAATATACTGTGTTTTTCCATCTATAAGACGCCCCCATGTATAAGACCATGTATCTTTTCTGGGACTCCAAATTCTCTCAATGGACAATAAGAATAGCCTAACATGACTGTTACATGCAGAGATCTGCCCCACCTGCTTCTGATTGCATTCTTGTGAGATATAAATGCCTGGTGCACTTCCTAGAAACTTATTATTTTAACTGTCCAGGGATAGGTTCTTAGGGCACACTATACAGCTACCTTGCTGAAGATATGTAAGTCTGTGCCTGGTCAGTGCATGGGCAGAAGAGCTGGAAACCCAGGTGTCCAGCTTTAAGTTCCATGCTGGTAGAAAAGTGAAATTTAAGTGTACTAAATAAAAGAAAAATACTTCCCAGCTCTTCTGTTAGCATAATAGGAAGCATCACAATGGGACTTTACATAATTCTCAGCACCACTTGTGGCTCTTTTCCTTTCCTGGGAATAATTTTATGACTCTGCATAAAAGAGTGGAGGGGGAATAAGAGGAGGGTTTGAGGATCTCTCTCTAGATATGCAAGCTTCAGCTCTGCTGCAGTGCTGCATCACAGCCTGAATCTCTGATATTTATATATTTCTATTAGTTTCTGAAATATTACATTGGGCATCACCCTGTACCTGTGGGATCCTGGACATAGACATGTGCAATTTTGTCCCAGCCTCTCTATTCCAGGGCTGGAAAATCTATTGCTCTTCAGATGTTCTTGGACTCCAGTTCCCATCAGTCCAAGCCAGCATGGCCAACAGATAGAAATTATAGTAGTTGTAGTCCAAAATAATCTGAAGGGCCACAGGTCCCCTATTCTAACTTTGGCATTCAGTCTTTACCATACTTGCTAGTAACACATATGGCTCAATATATGTGAAAGCAATATTTGACAGAATTTTGTATAAAAGAAAGTATACTAAGAAAATTTCCTTCTACATAAAGTAGTCATTAATAAACTTACATATTCATATCTAAGGATAGGGCTTTTTGCATATTCAAAGTTATAGATTTCTAACATTCCATCATCACGACCGATGATCAATTCTTTAACTCCATCTCCCAAAATATCAAAGCTATCCATACATAAGATGCCTGAAAAACAGAACAGGAAGCATGTATCTACATCCAACTGACTAATCATATCATCTTGTAAATCTCACATGCAATTTAGGAACCTAGGAAACTTTCTTAATTATACAGAGTCTGGTCATTTATCCATCTAACTCAGTACAGACTGGTAGCAGCTCTTCAGGGTTTCAGACAGGAGGCATTCCCAGGCCTACCAGGAGATGGCAGGGAATGAACTAAAAACCTTTTTCAAACCAAGCAGATGCTGTACCACCGAGCTATTGTCCTTCCCCTTTATCTAAATAAACAGAACTCTGTTAAGAACTATCACCCAATACAGGATGAAATCAACTGGAATTACTGCATTATTACTAGGTTCTTAAAAGCAGAATGTTAAAATTTATCTATGAGAAACTATTACATGTTAGGTGGGATTATTGTCTGATAGATGGGTATTTCACTCCAGTAATAATAAAGTACAGAATTTATAGAAACAACCCCAAACTGAATACTAACATAAGGCATTGTTGGTTGGTTATTCTCTTCATGGATATACCACACCTGCCATTTGTATACTTGCGCATATAGCAGGATATGTCTGCCACAAAAATGGTAAAACTGGTCACACACTATTATTATTAGTTTGAAATCTGATGTCATATTAGAATGTTTAATGTCTGCAAAGCACGGAATTGAAGTTTGGAAAAATAAACATGCAGTCCTCCAAAATAAGTCCTATCTAGAGTTCAAACCAAAGTTTCAGAAGAGGGCTGAAGAACCATTTCCCAACAGTCCAAAACTGACCAGTGGGATGATCAAGAAAGCACACACCAGCTCCTTCTCATCCTCCCACTACTAATCCATGTAATTACACAATTAAGAAATACTCGCAGAAGAATATCTTTCATGTCAGTGCAGTGTTTGTTGACCATTGTTTCCATGCTGAAGTTACACAAATCTAGAGCATCAATTTAATAATCAGAATCACATTTGCATGCAGTTGTGTTAATCTGTAGCAGCTTTACCATCCCCTAGGTCGCCTGAGTACTGTTTCTGCTTTTAAGTGTCCTTCTGCATTCTTGTCCTTTCTTGTTTACTTCTCTGGTGGGAGCCCACAATCAAGAACAAGACTGATTGCATTTTAAGAACTGTAATCAGACTTGCTTCATTTGTATTTTTAATTTTCTCACCAAATTCTAATCAAGAAATAAGCGGGGAAGCTGGCTGTAAACTTTTCCATTTGAACCAGGTGCAAGTGGACAAGGTCAACAGGCCTGGCAGATCTCATTGTTTGTAACCATGTACTTTTTGCAGTTTGAAAACCTTATTTTCCAAACACATTAGCATTGGTACATACTCTCTCACATACACACTCGCACAAAGTCCCCACTCAGCAAGTGATGAAGTGGGGAGAGCATCTTTTCTCCCTTCAGGCGGGCATAATATCCTTTCTCTCTGAACCAGATGCCAGCTACACTGGCACAGCCATGTCCATATTCCCCAATAAAAACATGGCCAAAATAATATATGCTATGAATGACATGCAGGAAAAGAGAAGGACAGATGTTGGGATTGTTTTTGGCACACCCTGATATGAATGAGTAAAATGGAGGGGACAACATACACAGTCCAGGTAGAAAACATAAACATTGAAGTCCATGTTTGAATTGATGGTAACCGTAATTGTTTTTGAGAGTTGACAATGGATGTGATATTTCTTATAAGTTATTTTCTACAAATGCAATATGCAAACCACAGAACTAAAGGGAGCTATTTCTCACTGTGCCTGATGTGAATAACTATGATCTAGCGGGAAACTCTGAAGACACCTACCACCTCTTTTTTTCTCATTTTCAATTTTCCACTTTTCTACTGGAGAAACACCAGAGATCTCTACTAGGCCAATTTTACCATCAGATGTCCCAAACAGAACTTCTTCACCAGAGTCACCTAAGAAAATAAATTAAAAGTAGGATTAGTTTTTAATAGGCTTCCATTTAACATTAGATTCAGTCCACTAAGATTCTCTATATCACACTAGCTCAAACTGAGTTCGAGGGCAGGAAGGAAGAGTTGCTTAGGTATGTTCCAGCTCCATCACTATGAATAGCCCTTTGGCAATCTTCCAGTTTTGAGTGCTTGTTGATGATGCTTGGGATATAATGGTGATTCTGTTGGTGTACTGCCTACCCTACTGCCCAACAGTCTCCTAATAGTAATACTAGGACTGGGTATCAAGTCCTAGGCAATATTACAGATTCTTAATTAAAACCCATGCCATGCTTTTTATTGAAATAAAATGCACCAAGAAATTCTGCTTACCACCATTTCCATTGTTCAAAGTCAGAACTGTGGGTGGACCTGGAACTTCCATTTCATACAGCAAATCTGACCCCTCAAGAAAATGAAGTAGAAACACTGTTAGTTTCAATCCTTGACTTTTTCTTTCATTTTAATTTAGAGGGATGGGAAGGTGATGTCTTCCCTGACAGGTGGTGTAAAAGGAAAGCTTTTAAACAAGCAGCATTATTTTTCTGCCTTTAGGCTAGGATAAAACCGAGAGCGTAACCTATTCTATCTAAACCAAAGCTATGATCTCATTGCCAAGCCTATTAACACCACTGAAAAAAAGATGTTGTTAAGAGAAGGTTGTGTGCAAGGATAATCTACTCAAGTGACGCCGAAACAAAACCCCACACATATACTAAGTGGAAGAATAGAAGTTTTACCACCCCATGCACCATCCCTACCCGACCCTCTTTCCTTCCCAACCTTATACTGCATGCAACACTAACGTCTCACAACAAATGAAACTGATCTGTAGAAAACACTACCTGAAAAAAGAGACAATGCAGTACTTTTGTAAACTGAGAAATCTTTAATAAAAATTATTTTTAAAAATATTTTAAAAACCAAGGGCATGAAAGTGTATTAATATGGAACAGAAACAGAAAATACTGGACAAACAGTCAGATATTATATAAAGTCACTTATTAAGATTCCAAACAAAGCATCAAGAATAATGCAGGAGTCCAGAGCTTCAGAAAACTAGGCTTCTGCTAAGGACAAGGGGGAAAGCTGTTGGAAGGATGTAATTCCAGGGATCATAGAACTCCTAAAAGGCATATAGGAATATAGGAAGAATATAGGAAGAAGAATTTAACTGGCCCAATTCAGTCATGAAAGGAAAGAAGGACTTCCAGGCAGCCCCATAAGTGACAGTTTTGAGGCTCAACTATGCAACTTGGAGTTTATCAGATGAACTGCACCAATAGGATTTTTAAATGGGAAAAGCCTTTGGAATAAATATCCCAAAGTACAATTAAAATAATAATACACTTCTGTTTTCTCAAACAGGTGTTGACAACGTATCTACTGGCTATTTAACAACTGCTGTTGATAATGGCAACAATTAAAAAAGGTATACCTGCAAAACTCTAATGACTCTATCTTGACATGCCAATACTGGTGTAATGCAAGACAGCTTCTCTACCGGAAGGCAGAGAACATCATTGATTTTGTCTCCTGATAGGTAGTAATGCTGATCCTTACAGTCACAGTAATGGTTATAGACATAGCTTGCACCAAGAAAGAGATCTGATCCGGATATATGCCTAAAATGATAATAGCAATAATCAATACTATATTCCAATCGTTGCCACCAAAAGTTAAAATATTTCAACTACCATTCCTATGCACAAGCTATTATATTTTGCTAAGACTGTACAGGTACTTAGGATCAAATTAAACAAATGTTTTTAAACAGTAGTCTGTTGGCCATTTTAGAATAAGTAAAGCCACTTCCATTGGGATCAGGAGCAAAGACGCCATCTTTTCCCACTTAGCATCTTCAAGGCAAAACACCCCACCCCCAGGTCTTTAATATGTGTCTGGAAGGGGGGGGGGGAGCTGCTGAAGGAGATTAGAAATGTGGAAATGGCAAAAGGGTTAAATGTTCTCATTTTCCAATCACCCCCAACAGAAATATTTTCCCCCTATTTGAGCTACCATTATACATGGTTTACAAATGACACATAGCTTAGCCTCCTAGGTGACTAATTCAGAAGAACAAATTTGGTCTGCAATTTAAAAGGAAACTAGAAGAATAAAATGACTCTTATTTGCTTGATATCACAATAATTTTTACTTGTTTCCGTGTAATGTTGGATCTCCTGCTGGAGAAGCACTGGTTTTGATCATATTCTTATTTTATTGCTACCACATTCTAAGTGGTAATTATCTTTCAGGCATTATGTTTAGGTATTCAATCAATGCAATATTGTTTTATAAATTATATCATTAGCACATCTATACAGAGCATACATATGTTTGATTGCAATTACAGGAGCATGCTTACAAAAGAGTCTTACTGCTTTTGAAATCACTGCACTATATATAGAACCTTCTTGGCAAAATTTTATTTTAAAATTCTTAGGGATATTCCGTCTCTTTGAGAGCTATTGTCTAAATTCTAAGTAGCTTTGATAAGCAGCAGTAATTCAGCTGAGATATTACAAAAGGCGGATTAAGAAAAGAAAAAATAGTATTCCACTGATTATGCACAGTATTAAGGCAAGGTTAATGACAGCTAGAGAGAGTCTGAAGTCTATAAAAGGCTGACATAGAAAAGAAAATAGAATCAAATCATGTTTGCCACTATATCAGTACAAAACAGTAACCAGACAGGAGCATCAAATTTGGATTTGGAAAACCCAGAATCAAACATCTGGTCACTTATGAAGCTCATTGTGTTACCTTTGGCAAGTCATTTTCTCCCAGCCTATTCCCATGATCATTTGGGGGATAAAATACTGCTTTCAACTATTCAGAGGAAGGATGTAAGAATTAATAAAGCTTCTAAATATTTCTAGTTTAGCTCTGAATGTAAACTGGTACAAGTAAGAAGCATGTTTATTCAATTAGTTTATTGTAGAATACCATGATTCCAACCTATTTTTAGAGACAGATAATAGTTTTCCAGGAACTGAAAGATGCATTAAAGAAGTATCATTGTCCATGATGCGTACACCAATTCAACTGTTGGTAAACAAGTTCTGTAGCGATCCATAAACTTGCAGATCTTGTTTGACTGAACTGATATGTTTGGCCAGACAACATGTTTTTAAATGTTTTATCTTCTTACATTTCCTCATAGAAGTGTAGAGTTGGAAGGGACCCTGAGGATCATCTAGTTAAACCCCCTGCAATGCAGGAATATGCAGATGTCCCATATGGGGATCGAATCTGCAACCTTGGCATTATCAGCACCAAGTTCTAACCTACTGAGCTCTGCGTCTCTTTGTATTCCGCCTTTCTTCCATTATGGAACTCAAGGTGGAATTCAAGGTGCCATACATGTGGCTTCTAGGAGGTGTCCCATTCAGGTACTGACCAACTCCAGAACAACTTAACTATAGCAAGTTGGTTGCTTCATGTGCCTTCAGACCATAACTCGGAAACAGAAAGATTAATAGTCCATCTATTGACACTGACTAGCAGCAGCTCTCCTGAGTTAGGGGCAGGGGTCTCTCCCAGCCCTACCTGGAGATGTCAGGGATTGACCTTTGGACCTTTTGCATGAAAGGTATGCACTCTACCAGTGATCTGCAGCTTTCCCCAAATGGGATAGCTCAGTTGGAAGAGCACGAGACACTTAATCTCAAGGTTGTGGGTTCGAGTCCCACATTGCGCAAAATATTCCTGCATTGCAAGGGGTTGGACTAGATGGCTCTTGTGGCCCCTTCAAACTCTACAATTCTATGATTCTATGAACAAACAAGGGTAACAATGCTGCTTTCATTCTTTCAACTTGCTTAAAAACTATTATTTGACTCCAACTATATAACAAACTGTATCACTTAAATTTCAATCATATGCACCAAAATTTGGTTAAAAATAAAGCAACAGATTGTACAGCACATCAGCATTTAATTAAATTATCAATACTTTATTATGTCAAACCAGCTTATGGTTTTCATCAATTACAGCAGATTAAAGTAATATGCACAACAGGTTCAGATATTACTCTGGAAAACGCAGTAAGATGATTTAATTTGTGATTTAATTTAATTGTGAATCAGCTAAAGTGTTGCACTGTTTCAACCTTATCTTTCAATTAAACTGATTAGCTTTTAATGACTCAGCTAATTTCTGTGTTTTTTATTTTAATGACTTTCATTAAAGTCAGTGCTTGTGTACGCACACCGCTGAGGGCAAAATTACTGTTGCAAAAGTGCAGGATGGAAACTAGACCTTTATATAGAACCATACACAAATAAAATTTATGCTAAGATTCAAGGCAAATAAGGAGTATTAGAATACATAAAGTGATTGTTAAACAGGACACTAAAATGTAACATATACTTATTTCATTCATTAGGATAACAATTTAGCACCTAAATGACAGTAACACATCTAAGGCTACTAATGTATTTTCCAGTATACCTACATAGCTTTGATGTTCTCAGTGAGGTTGGTGTTAAATGCAAGGAACTGCTTCCCTTTCTTTGTGAAACCTCTAACCTCAGACCCTGCAGCCACAAAAATTTTCTCCTGGGGTGTATTAAGAGCACCTCCCAGTTCTAGCCTTGCAATCTTTTCCCCTGGCAAGGTCTTGAATACTGGCTAAAAAAAGAAGACAGACAATGTTCAGTGCCAATGTTCACGACAAATCATAATATGATATTAGATACAAAATATACATGTATTCCATTTTGTATGCTTTTAATTATTTTATGCTCTCTATATATTTTAAAAAGTTAGCTATTTGTGTGATTCTACCATGAAAAGCACAAAGTTCATACACACAATTGCAAAATGTTCCAAAATCCTGCTAATAAATGGTCACAAATAAACCCAAACAAGAGCTCATACCGAAAGGTCGGCCAAATAAGAACAGTTTGCATGTTTTCCTCAACAGACACCACAGGGTTTCATCACAAGTACTCTAAGACCAAGGTCAGAGCTAAGAATGCCCTACACTAGCATCACATAGATCAAACCTTGCTTTGTGAAGTGACCCAAAGTCTGACCTCAATGTCTTAGGTTAATGGAAGAGGGAAAATATAGAGAGAAATCAACATAGCACAGCCATAGATTATGATGGTAGGTCCTTGTTTTCCAGTAACAAGCTCTATGTTATAATCAACATAACTGCTATTCAAAAAGATGTTTGAGGATTCTGTGGAGAAAAGCTTCTTCAAGAGAATTTAATCAAATTACTACAGTGAAGCACACCTGCAGCATGCCTAGGGTGGTTGTATCATTTTATTTTGAAAATGTCTAGAATAAAGCACAAACATATTTGGGGGGCATGTTTTTCCCAAGCCAGTGCATACCGTAAAGAGCTTTAAGAAGTCCATATGTTATCTGTAAATTAAGCTTCATTGTTAATTAATTAATTGGGGGGTAAATTAATTGAAAACTACATAGAGACTACATTACCTACCACAGCTTCTCCTTTTTTCATACCGAAACAGGTAACAACACCATCTTGATCTCCAATAACAACCTTAAAAGTATAATAATATAAAGTTATGTCTACATTAGTCATCTAAGAGTGCAAAGGAAATACATTTATATGTATTTCAGAAATCTATAGAAATATAGAACTATATCTCTGTAATCCATACTTTTCCTAACTCAACTCCAAATGTGTATCTGATACAGTGGTACCTCAGGTTAAGTACTTAATTCGTTCCGGAGGTCCGTTCTTAACCTGAAACTGTTCTTAACCTGAAGCACCACTTTAGCTAATGGGGCCTCCTGCTGCCACCACACTGCCGGAGCACAATTTCTGTTCTCATCCTGAAGCAAAGTTCTTAACCTGAAGCACTATTTCTGGGTTAGTGGAGTCTGTAACCTGAAGCGTATGTAACCTGAAGCGTATGTAACCTGAGGTACCACTGTATTTCAACTTGGATGTTTCCCTACTGTCTAAAACTCAGTATGCCTAAGATAAATCCTTTTCTTCTCCAAGTTGCCCTCCTTTCAGTTACTCCTCACATCCATCAATATCACCATCCTGCTTGTTGTTCAAACACAAAGCTTTGGCTTCACCTTTGAATTCTGCCTCTCATTTATTTCCTATATTCAATCTGTTACCAAATTATGTTGCTTTCCCAATACCACAAATTTCCTTTTCTTTTGGGGCAATTCTCTCTATTACCACTCTGGTTCATTTTCAAGCTATGACCTACTTTGACAACACAACCGTCTACTCTACAGCCTTCCCACATAACAACTCAATCTATGCACCTCTAGCCAAAGATACGCTGCCAGATTTTATACTTCTTCTGTCATTCAGAACACGCAATACCCACCCTCAAATTCCTACAGTGATTTCTGGGTTCTCACACAAATTACTTGCCTTTAATGTCTTCATTCCCAACTCAAAAAGTATAAAAAGCTTTTTGCATTCATTCTTTCCTATCTTTTTAATGTTGCATTCTTATGTTGTCTGCTCCACCATCAACACTTACATTACAAGCTTTTGAGGAGAATGGCTCTGTGACTTAGATAAAATGATATTTTATATGTTTTTGTCATCAGAGTACAAATTGTGTACGCAATCATTCCCAGACAGAAATATTTCAAAGCAACAAATTTCTATACCTTCTGTGTGGCCTTGCGTCCTGATGCAGGGAGCAACTTCATGGTCTTCTGAGATGTCACTCCCACCTAATTGGGGGAGAAAACCATTTCATTATTAATGCTTCAACTCTTGCGGTATAAAATGGATTGTCATGTACCACAATACAAACAATACAAAGTAGTTATTTTAACATGATTAATATAAAAAGGTATATTAAGATTTTGTCATAAGTGTAGTGTTTCTAACAGCAAAATCAATACAAAAAAGGATCCTGTGATAATTATGGTTGTCATAAATTGTTATAGATTATCATAAAAACACTTACTAGGGAGTAGGCTGCACCAAACACAGTGGAATTTAAATTCAAGAAAGCATAGATAGGACTGTGCCAATATTGTAGCACAAGCTTTCATGGACTGTCTTCACTTGCCACACAAACACATACACAGATATAGAAAAACCTGTCAATAGTGCCCAAGAATAATGAAGTGCAAGAAATACTGACTGTGACAATTCTATGTGAAGCTAAAATACATGTGAATACAGTGAAAAACGGTGGTTGTGTTATTACTAATTATTGCCCTTGTGTACAATAGCTGTGTCTATCATATATCATTTTAGCTCTATATAGTTATGCATGAAAAAGAAGCTCTAATTGTGGGGCAGGAAAACTGAAAAAAAAAATCACATCTGGCAACCAATGCACCCCTTTGGTTTCAGATAGTACATGAGTAGCTGAGTCTAAAAAGCTCAGGACACCATTTTTCTGCCCTCTAGCAGATATGGTGGCTCATTTAACATCATGTAAATGTATTTTGCGTTAACTCAATTCTGACCAAACTAAGCCTTCTGATGTATATTTTGCTCTAGGGGGCTTAGTTTGGTCACAATTGAGTATCCACTTCCAGACAAATGCAATGTCTTCAGAGAAGTCATGTAAGGTCAACTGCCTTGTAAGGATTAACCACGAATCAGGGACAGGAAGTGAATTAATACACCTTTTACCACCTGTGGAGAGCCAGTGTGGTGTAGTGGTTAAGCGGTAGTCTCGTAATCTGGGGAACCGGGTTTGTGTCTCCGCTCCTCCACATGCAGCTGCTGGGTGACCCTGGGCCAGTCACACTTCTTTGAAGTCTCTCAGCCCCACTCACCTCACAGAGTGTTTGTTGTGGGGGAGGAAGGGAAAGGAGAATGTTAGCCGCTTTGAGACTCCTGAAGGGGAGTGAAAGGCGGGATATCAAATCCAAACTCTTCTTCTCCTCCTGTTGTTTTTTATGACTGTTGTGAACAGGTTTGGGAATGGCAGAATAAATCTGATTATTTTACATTGGTGATGTGTTACTCCATCCCAGTTCTACAGATGATATACTGATGCATCTGTTTGGAATCACTCCACCAATCAAAATACAATTTAGTTTTTTAAATATTTAACAGGACTTTTTGTCTACAGACAAAAACTGTTTTCTACATTCTATTATTATTCCATGACAGCTCTGTTTTAATAATAAGATAAAACACAATTTTTGTCAAACAAAACGCAACAAAACCACAGCTGAATATCCATTTATTTCAATAAAGGGATTGTGAAGAAAGCTAACAAATGCCTGACCCACACTCTCTTTCTGACAAAAAACAAACAAACCTGTGTGACACTTAAAAGCTTGCACACTTTAATCTCAAATTAACCTCTTCTGTGACATCACTTTTCTCAGCGCACCATGTTGAGAGCTGTCTATGGAAGGATCCTCAATTACAGCACTATGGTGGTGGGGTTTAAAATAAAAAATAAAAACCAACAAACCCATACAACTCCTACATAATCCGGATGGCTATTTGCTCTTAAATCAGAGGTGTGGCACTCCAGATGTTGTTGGACTATATAGGACAGGCATAGGCAAACTCGGCCCTCCAGATGTTTTCAGACTACAATTCCCATCATCACTGACCATTGGTCCTGTTAGCTAGGGATGATGGGTGTTGTAGTCCCAAAACATCTGGAGGGCCGAGTTTGCCTATGCGTGATAAAGGAACACGAGTCAAACCATTAGTCCATCATCTAGCTTCATACTGTTGACCCTGACTGGCAGTGGCACTCCAAGGTCCCAGTATTTCCCAAGCCCTACCTGGAGATACGGACCATGCTGGCCCTTCTCCAACTGCCATCTAGCCTGACCCCTGGGCCTGCTGGCTGCAGAAGAGGCACCCGGAGGGCCACAGGCGAGCCGGCGGCGCTCTCGGCCCTGCCTCCTCTCCCCTGCCTTCTGATAGGCCGGCTCCTCTGCCTTTGCCGCAGAGAAGCTCTCCGCATCTCTATCTTAGTACGAGGAGGGGCGGCAGCATCACCGGTTGAATTTCCGCCTGTGAAAGGAACACGTGTCCGCAACGGCGTCGGGGGGTGGCGAAGAACGCCGGTCTCGTTCTCGCGCGAGACGAAGCAGGGGGGTTCGCTGACTGACCCGCAATCTCGCCCACCTGCCCACCCACCCCCATCTACCTGCAGATAATCCACCCGGCTCAGGCCCAGGTCCATGGCGGCGAGCTTCTAAGAAAAGCAAACCGTTATCCCTCTTCCCTCGTCCCGGGCGCTGTTTTTCACCACACAAACATCACCGCGAGGCCTAAAAGCTCCCGCTAGGCCCTGCGTCACCATGGTAACGCGACCGGACTACGCGCGCGCCGATGCCGGGATTCAATTGGACACGGCGTGAAGGGAGGAGGCGGGCTCCGCTTGGGACGCGCGCCCTGTGATTGAGCAAGGAACTTGCCCATCTGGTTACAAAGTCATCCGCTTGCGGGATTGGTGCTAAGGATGCCTGCAAGGTGATGCCGAGGAGGAGTTGAAAGTCATCTCGGAAAGCAAGGGGGATCTCATGGCGACGCGGTGCTGCTCATCCCGCGGGGAAAGGCGAACACATCTTGCATAAAAGCAAAGGAGGTCTTGCACACAAAAAGTACTGCGGAGGCCGCTGTGCTGCAATGCAGGGCAGGCGCCTCCTCTCCCCGCCCTTCCCTCTGTTCCCTCCCCCGGAGGGAGCAGGGCTATTTGAGCCGGGCAGCAGAGCTGTCCCTGGGCAGAAATGTCCCTGCTTGCCCAGATAATGTTATTTATATCGCCCGCTGGACCACCCGGGTCTCTGTCCCGCCGCCGCCCCGCGCTCTGTGCTGCTGGTTGGTGCCCTAGGCAGGTGAATCTGACCAAGGAGAGACGCAGCTGGGCACCTGGAGCGCACTGCGAGGGATGGAGCCGGGCAGGTGGTGGGTCGGGCTGCTGGAGGTCGAGGAGGTGGGGAGGGGGAGGTCGCGATGTCGCAGGCATCTGCCACCCCAAGCAGGCGGGGTTTTTAGAAGAACGAACGGATGTTGTGGCGGTGAGGAACACAGGGGCGGGGGGGGGTAATAATAATAATAATAATAATAATAATAATTTATTTATATCCTGCCCTCCCCAGCCAAAGCCGGGCGCAGAGCGGCTTACAACAGTAAAAATAGCACAGTTTATATAAAATCACACTCAATTAATAGAAAGTCATTCTAAAATAAATCCAGAATCAAATTAATGGCAACCATTGGGCTAGAGTTCTATGAGGTTTACAGTCAAAGGCCTGGTGGAACAGCTCTGTCTTGCAGGCCCTGTGGAAAGATGTCAATTAAGAGAGGGAAAGGCTTGCAGTTCCTTACTGCCGATGCCCCCACCGTCTCTGAGGCTGACAGCCAGGGGGTTGGCATTGACCCACTGAGAAGAGAAGTTAAGATTCTCAGCTGCCCCCTAGATCCGAGCCAAGGTTGCTGATGGGAAAGGCACAGAAGCGATGGGTCTGAGGAGAAGGCAAAAATGGGAGTTTTGTGTGCGTGTGACTCTGCCTCTTACAAGATTTTGGAACTGTCCCATTCCCAGCAGCACACCTGGAAGTGGAATCTCGAAAGGGAGCCTTTGTGGTGGTTAACCTTTCCCAGACTCCTAATCAAGTCTCCTTCTCCCACACACTGTTATGTTACGGGCATCAATGTGTGACATAACAAAGCATCTGAATGTACTGAGCACGAGTCTTTGGGGAAAGATGCCGCGGTGAACCAGCTTTATTCACACCTCAAAGCCTTTGGAACAAAGCTGCAACTTTTCCAAAGGCAATTGTCACAAACACAGCCCAATACCATACATTTTTCAGCGTTGCAGGAAATAATGAAGTGTTTTCCACAGGAAAATATCAGTGCGCAAACGAGCAGGTATGCAGCAGACATTGCATCTCTGGCTGGGGAGTTTAAACAGCGCTTTCAGGATTTTGCTGCTATTGAAAAGGAGACCAGTCTTTTCTCCTCTCCATTCTCTGTTGACCCCAATGATGCTCCAGATCAGCTGCAGCTCGAGCTCATTGAGCTGCATTATGACACTGAGTAACGTGGTTGTCACCAACAGCGCTCTCTTGTGAACTTTTATCGCCAACTGGATAAGAGCCGGCTTCAAGAGATTCGAACATTGGCTAAGAAAATGCTGAGTTTGTTTGGCCCAACATATTTGTGTGAGAAGACATTCTCTGCTATGAACTTTAACAATTTGCATTTAATTTTAATGGTTCAAATAATGTCAGGCAAAATGGTCAGCCCTCACGCATGTTCACTTCATCAAATCTGGCTCTTTGAAAAAAGTTTAGACACCCCTGTACTAGAGGACTGCAGTTCCAGATTTGACTGATTTTCTTTTGTTCCCACGCCCTGCATTAAACCAATTCCTCAGCCCTGTAGTTCCAGGTTGTTTGCACCAATCCTCCATCCATCCATCCCCTTCCCCTCAATCTGCTTGAGCATTCCTACTCACTACTGACATAGTATTAAAAATAAAATAAGAGTCAATAAAGTATGAATATTTTATTTAACAAGTACGCATCAGAGGCATTATTTAGAACAAATGTAACAAAATATCAGCCCTGCATAGTATCTTAAATTTTAAAAAATCATCTTCACCACATGAAAAGGTATATTTTGACAGTTCACATTAGTTAGAAGTAAAAAAAAAATACTTCCTATTCTGAAAGCAAATATGCAAACTTACATAGGTATAGGTAATTTTAACGGCACTATTACTATTATAGCCGCATTTTTATCTTCACTATTAAACATTCAGTTGTCCATGCCATGGCTTGTTTCTTAAGAAAGCTGATAAATCAAGGGGTGTGATCCAGTGAAAATTAAGCACTTAAAAAGGTTAGTCCAAGTATCCATACTAGGAAGCAGCAGTGCAATCCTATACGTGTCCACTCCAAAATAAGCTCCAGTGAGTTCAATGGAAGCATGTATAAGATTGCAATCTAAGGCCCACTAAACGTGGGGGACTTGCTTCCAAGGAAACATGCACAGGATTGTGCTGTTTGCTTTTTACATCAGTGTGAGAAGCGCATGCCACTGAAATCAATGGGAGTTCAACGTGCTTTAATTTTAACTGGATCATATGCAAAGTACCTTCAAGTAATCTTTCACTGAGCTGGCTGTATTTTGGTTACTACATCTCCCATCAGCATGGTGGAGGACATATGCAGTACAATCCTAAACGTGTTTACCTCCCTAGTAAACCGGTTTAGGATTGCAGCCCTAGTCTTCAGTGTTGTTTTTTCTTTGTTCAGTGCAAATGATATACATTTTATTGATAAAACTATTTGCAATGCAAGATTGTTTAGATACAATTGCGCCTTATTAAATAAATGCAAAATATCCTTTATAATACACATTAAATAAATGGGTTTTTTGCATGTAAATTCATAAAATCTTCTAAGACTGTATTTCAAATAAAGCTGTACATAAAGTTATTTAGTGCTAAAAATCTACAATACATTTTCAAGTATAAGTCACTCATAAATATTATTGCCAATACTTGTGCTGTGGTCAAAATCCAGGGATTTGAGATCATTCACATCTCGTTAAATTTGGGTTGAGTTTCTCACTGAGTTTATGGATGAGAATTGCCAACTCCTCTGTAGCTTGAGACTTGTCTTCAAGGAGTTCATAGCGAAGACTGGAAATATCTTGCTTAATTTCCTTAAGTTCACCTGTGTAATTGGTAAAAAGAAAGTTGTTGACACAGCTTACAAAGACCAAGCATTTGAAGTAGTACTGGATACTACCAGGCAGAGGGCCTTCTCGGTAGCGGCACCCACCCTGTGGAACGCCCTCCCACCAGATGTCAAAGAGAAAAACAACTACCAGACTTTTAGAAGACATCTTAAGGCAGCCCTGTTTAGGGAAGCTTTTAATGTTTAACAGACCATTGTATTTTAATATTTTGTTGGAAGCCATCCAGAGTGGCTGGGGAAACCCTGCCAGATGGGCGGGGTATAAATAATAAATTATTATAATATTATTATTACTTAGGTCCTGCTTGCAGGCTTACAATAGGCAACTGACAACAGGATGCTGGAATAGGTATCCCACTGCCCTGATCCATCAGACTCTTCTTATATTCTTATGTTTTAAACCTATGCTGATGAATTATATAAGGAGCTGCTTTACATAAGTAATTCCATTATGACTGAAGAAGTGTGCATGCACACGAAAGCTTATACCAGAACAAACTAAGTTGGTCTGTAAGGTGCTACTGGACAATTTATTATTATTATCTATTTTTGTTTCCATTATGACTGCAAGCTTTACTGAACTATTAAGTTAGATTACTTAAAGCTTTTACTGTATTCTTCTTTGAACTGGTGGGGCTGATAACAAGCAATGATGTGTCCTCTACCTGTTTGATTATTTAACTGCATTTTGAACACAAGACACAATCCAGCCAAAGTTAATCACTTTTACATTACTATTAATTTCAGTGGTTGAAATTAATGCTTTACACCCCCCCTGAAATGCTTGATGCTCCCATTTTGATCTAATGGAACTTATTGGTGCTTAGCTTTGGCAAAATCCACACGAAATATGCATTATCAAATGGAGTACCTCTGCTATAATAATTTATTATTCAAATTTCTGACTGTTAAATACACTGGGTTGCATCCAGACTTTGTCATGCTTAGCATACATCACCTATTGAAACCAACATCAGCTCTGAGAAGTATGACATTTGAGAAAAAGATGAGGAATCTCAAGGTTGTGCAAAGGGAAGAATTAATAGCAAAATTCAAAAGTGTCCATTCCAATCAGTCCTCAATATATATAACAGTAGACTAACAAGACATTAGAAACTGGATTGAAATAAATGTAACTGGGTCATTTTAAAGGACTGCAATTCACTTTTCTGTGTGTGTGGTCTTCATGTGATGTGTGGAAGAAATAAGCTTCAACAAAAATCTAAGTATGCTTTTATTCTCTTGACGGTCTAAGATGCAACTCTCATGCTTCTAAGCCAAAAATGACAAATAGCATTCATTGTATTTCCCATACTCTTACAAACATTTCATATCTTACAGCAGCAAAGCAACATCCTTGAGGTATTAAGGTCACATATTTTTTCTTAGCTAATTTTAGAAGAGAATTCAGCTCACATGGATATGTTTTTAAAGGTCACTACCACTGGTATTTGGGGTTTTAAGTATTTTTAGCTGCTTTGTCTTAAACTACTTTATTTTGTCCAATTCAAAAATAAAGCAGTTCAGAGTTTACAGCTCTACAGAATTAGTTTATAGCATTCATATGCAACTATTCATCTTCACATTTGTTGACAGAAGTTTAATTTAGCTCAAGAGATTTTACAGGGAAAACATGTGCATGTCCCCTACAATAAGCTGACAAATAAAAAGAACCCCTGGGATTGCTTCCTCCATACAGATTTTCATGAGTTTGGACTGAGGCAGGTTCATGATTTTAAATATTTATCCTGGGAGCCAAAGAGGCAAGGATCTCTCTTTCGCATCCCCCAGATCTCTGGAGGGTAAGTTGGCTGCTGAAGGGTTTTTCTGCAGATCGAAACCTTCACTCAAAGTATTAATCCCCCATCACATTATCTTTCATAACTAAAGACTCTAACCTATTCCAGTTTGGAATAGAAGATGGCTATCGGCAAAGCCTTCTTAAGCTTAAGACAGATTACTTCACCTGTACCATTTAAATAGCTTCTGAGCTGTTCTCCTATTATGAGTGCACATTTATGAAAGGCAGAAAGGCAATTTTCAGTATGTCTGTATTAAGTTTTTAAATCAGCCAGTGGCCACATATGTACAAAGGTGGATTTACAATCATAATTCAGGTTTCCTGAGGGTTGTTTTTTTAATGTCATCTGTGAATCAATGCATTCTATTTCAAGTGCATTTTTTAGTCTCCAATCTGCCTTTTCCCCATAGTACATATTTGGGAATTACTTTTTGAAAGCATATTAACATCCTCCCTGTAAGAAAATGTGAGAGTGTTTTCAGTTCCACCAGTGAAGGTTTCCTTCAAAGTCTCCCCTTCTCTGCTAGCTATTTACTTATTTATTTAAACCTTCAAGGCACCAATTAAATCAGATAAGGAAACTGTGGCACTCTAGGTGTTGTGGGACTTCAGTTCCCATCAGCCACAGCCAGCCTGGCCCATGGTCAGGGTTAACAGGAGTTGGACTCCAACCACATCGAAAGGGCCACAGGTTCCCTATTCACGAATCTTTCCCCTATCCTGACATCATACATGAATTCAGTGCAACAGATGGCTAACATGACGCATATTTTGAAACGCCTGCTTTTAACTTGACAATTTTAATGTTTTACTTTATATTTTTGCAAACCACTTGGAGCTTTGTTTACCATCCAGCGGTATATAAAATTTCTGAATGAATTTTAAAAAGCGAATAAATGATGCCTGCTTCAGCAGAGAGTTTATTTAAGTTTCTGGTGAACCAAGAATTAGCCTCACCTCAAAAAAATAAAAGGAAATATGTTTCTGCAGTTGCTGTGTGACTTGCTCCCAATTTCTGCTAAAACATCTGGTTGTAAGTATAGTTGTAGTTGTGGTATAGGCAGTGCTTTTTGTGTGTGTAATGGCAAAGGTGCCTAGTACTCATATCTTGATAAAAATGCTGTGGGCAGCAAAATAAGAGGTGATGATAGTCAATAAAAGGCACTAAGTGTACCGGTTACTGCACTATGATCTGACTCAGTAGCTACATTTTTGGGACAGCATTCAGAGTCTTCCTACTGTACAAGTATATTAAGAAGTCTGCAGTAGCTCTTACCCTCATTGACTTCATCATTTTCCTTGTCTACTTGTGCTTTCAGAACATAACGTTTTATAAGTCTCTTCATGATTTGCTATTGGAGAAAAACAACAACACCACACCTGTTTATCATTTCACGATGCTTTGAATGTCATAAAGGTAACAGTACAATCAATTCTTTCTCACACATACAACTCACAGAGCTACACAGACTGGAAGAGATCCTGACCCTACAGGATGCCACACAGAGCCATTTAATTCCCCTCCCCTGCCCAAACTAGACATGGATAGTACCAGATATAATAGAGCACCACATGCCTGGCTGTTTCAGTAAATAGAAGGACCCTGAATATCTGCCATACACTTATTTCTCCCTGAAAATACGTAAAAACAAACCTTGCAACCTTTAGGCTCCCTCTCAGGGCTGCAACCCCTGTTCACCACAAGGTGTCAGCAAAGGTTGCTCATTGAATTCCACCTTTTTAATCGTGAGGTGGGGCATTTTGTGCGGGAATGACTTCTTCAAGTCAAACCACTCCCTCAAACACAGTGTCCCTGTGCCAAGAGCCAAAGCGGCTGGACTGAGAAACAAGAGGAAGGTTATCACCATGAACAAGCATAGAGAAGAGGACAGTATACACTGACTGTGACAAAACACTTCCTGTTCAGTTGTGTTTTGACACCGTGTCTGGGACTTTGCAAGACAAGGGTTATGTAACTGCAACTTGATTACTCTGGAAAAGCCAGGCAAGGAGGTTTTGTAGCGGCACTGGATTTTTAAATTATTATTATTATCTACCTCATCCATTAGAGTTAATGGTTTGTAGTAAAAGGATAAGGCGTCGAGAACTAGGGCAGATGCAGGGATCCTACTGATGAGTTTGTTTCAGCTTGTAAATTGGTTTTGTTTTAGGCGGCTTTTGTTGTTGTTTATTTGTTTATTTATTACATATGTAGGTCACCTTTCCTTCAAGGAGCTCAAGGTGATTGGGCATAGTTCTCCTCCCGCATTTTATCCTTACAACTACCCTGTGAGGTAGGCTAGGCTGAGAGGCATTGACTGGCCCAAAGTCACCCAGTGAGCTTCATGGCTGTGTGGGGATTGAAACGCTGGTCTCCCATGTCTTAGTGCCACACTCTTAACCACTATACCACACTGGCTCCCTATTTTTATCTTATTTAGTACTGTATTTATTGTATGTGAGCCTTGTGCACTTTGGTAGAAAGTCAGCCTATGAATTCATTAAGACAGTTGTTTTCAACCTTTTTGAGTCCATGGCTCCCCTGACCAACTACATTATTTCTGTGGCACCCCTATGAGGCTCAGGAGCCAAGTTATGTCACCCATGGCCTGCAGAGCTGGCAGCCCCTCACACCTTTTTGAACACCCTCCCTTGGGAAGTGTTCCCACAAATTCCTCTCGTCTCCCCTCTCCTTGGAAGTCCTCCTGTCAGCCACTGTTCCCTTCCCTGATCTCAGAGCTGTGCCCCCTGCCCCAAAGAGAGGTCCTCACACTGCCCCACAGGGGCCTGAGACATGTCTGTCCATTCCCAACAGCAAGGGCTGGTGGACTGGCTGACAGGCTGAGCTCCCTCGCCTGCTTCCATGCTTACTCCAAGGCCACTTCAGCTCCTGGCACCAGCATCCCCTGGCCAGCCCCAGAGGCACCATTCGCCTAGCAGGCATGGCCAAACTTGGCCCTCCAGCTGTTTTGGGACTACATCTCCCATCATTCCTAGCTAACAGGACCAGTAGTCAGGGATGATGGGAATTGTAGTCCCAAAACAGCTGGAGGGCCAAGTTTGGGGGTTTGTAGCCAGTGCTGCTGCAACAAACAGCTTTGCAAGCCTTTGGGAGGCAGAGACGCAAGAGGGCATCAGAGGAAGGAGGGAAGAAAATAGGGGCAGAAGCAAGTGTTGCTCGCAGCACTCCTGACCATCATTCAAGGCACCCTAGGGTGCCATGGCACACTGGTTGAAAACTACTGCCTTAAGAGATCCTAAGTGCCAAAAGAAGTTCCAAAAAAAGTACAGTACGTGCATACACCCCAAAAGGAGTTTAATCTCCCCAAAACAGCCCAACAAAGGCTGAGCTTGAGCCATAGAACACGGAGTGTTACTTAGAAAATACTGAAAGGGAAAATGAACGGGCAGAATGAACCACTCGAGTCCCTTACAGGTTGCAGAACTGAATTTTGGGGGAAGGCATTCCTGCCTACATGGTTGGAACATTGGAAGTAGAGCATTCATGTTATGGGATAAAGATAAACTGCCACACTTTTCTTTCAGGTCTTACTTATAGTGATGGCAAAGGGACAACTGACAAAGGCTTCAGCCAGAAGCAACATTATGGCAGCTTCACAGAGTTATCTGCTCTCATTGGCATGTACAATACAGAGTCAGGAGCCCGGGAAGTTGCCTCCTCAATGAATTAAATAATAAATAAGTCCCAGTATATGGGCCAATGCAGCTAGGGCTGTACAGAGATCTTCATGGTGTTGTTGTTTCTACCTGTTTCTGGCTTCATTTGTAACCCTTTTGTCCACTGGACAAAAAACAAGCAAACAAAAATGTGCTCACATCACATGCCATTTCTGTGAGTGGGGAGAATTTTTTTTCCCCCCAGGACTGCTGTCAGAAATTGTCAAGCTGGGCCGGAATTCATACTCCCCTCCCTTGTATGCAATCATAGCAGTCGCTGAAGAGCTGGTCTGCATTTCCAATTCAGAAAATAAAAATCCCAGGTATTCTATGGCTCAAGGTCAGACTTATGTCAACAGGAGAGAGAAAGGGAGAGGGAGAGAGAGAAGGGCATGGGAAAAATCTTTCATATCACTGTATCTGAATAATATGCTTGTGTTTGTTTATGCAGATTGGTATTTAAATTATTCATGTTCCATCACTCTCCTGGATCCTTTCAATATGGTCTGTCTTGCATTCTGACCTTTTGTTAGAAAAGTGTTCTGTAAGCTTAGCATTCAACACAACTGGTGCTTTAAAATGATGTTGATGAATCTGTTCTTTCAGCGCTATAACTCGTTTTTCTTTGAACCCGCAGGCCTGGACTTTGAGAAAGACAGTCAAAAGCACATCCTATGCCTTAACCTTTTCAGCCTTCTGTGCCAGCTTTTGATCAGCCAAATCTAAGGTTTTACAACTGAAATTGTTCCATTCTCCATTTAATAATACAAATTGGGCTTGCAACACAATGTTACAGCATACACAGTGTTTCTGTTTAGAATTCCAGTCACATAGCATGCCCCTTTTCCAGAACACACCATTCTATTCCTCACCCCCTGATTTTCCAGGGTCCACCACCACCAATTGTCAAGGGTTTGGCAGCCTCTGAGCATTATCTGTTCTCACTAAGTTAAAAAAAATTAATGTTTTCCTGCTACCCTTAGGGCTCCCCCCCCCAAAAAAAGCTGTTACACTGCTCCAAATGTTTATGTTCTCCCGAGCCTTCTAATACTTCCCTCTTGTATATGGGTGGTTGGTGTATTGGCCACACACTTGGAGAATCTGAAATTTTGATGGTTCTAAAGGTTTTTCATAATGCAGATATACAAAATGCACTTACTCGTGAATTAGGTCAATTAATTAAAATGAACCATTCAATTAATTAACTGAATATTCCTGAGTGAAATCACTGTGGGCTACAGTCCAGGGGTGTGCAGCTTATCAGCAATAAATTTGCTGGCACATTTCTCAGCATTTTCTCCCAGCAGTTTCTGCCACACAACCTCGAAACTCACCCAAGTTTTAATAAGTCATTTGGGGGTTTGGCATCAGAGCAGTGAAAATAGCAGCAAGCAGGAAAATGATTCCTTCCTGCAAGCTCTGTGCTAAGCTATTAACAGATCTGTCACAAAATATTTGTTTGTGAATTGGCAGTCCAACTTCAGAGCTGCATGGAAACTTGTAATTTATTTAGATAATCATGGCTGCATGTACTGCCCAACTAACTACTCACCTGATAGCGTGTTGGCTGATTGAGAATGCTATTAAAGCTGTGTGATTCAAAAACCCTCGAGTTGGATTGAGAAAAGAGATTGAGCTAGGAAAGAATAAATCTAAAATCAGAATATTTTCCATGGAATTTGCAACTGTAATCTGGCATTGCTTTATTACTAACTGATTACAGAAATGTATATTTTTATGCAAAAACATTCTGAAAGAAGCAAGCTGAGCTGTAATTCCACAAACTACTTGTGCATGTATTTATTCTCAACTTCAAGGATGTGCTCAAATAAGAATATGTATTTTACCTATTCTTTGAACTGGAATCAAGTATGGAAGACAAATTCAACATTCCACACACTTAAAGACTAGCTTGCACTGGCTAGTAGCTCCCCAAGCGCTGAGCTTGTGGCCAGGCTAAAGAAGATTCGAGAAGTTAACTATTATAACGTACTAATTTAAGATTTAGCATCGTATTAAAATAAACAACAGTGCATCGTATTACTAATTTAGCATCGTATTAAAATAAACAACAGTGCAAGGAATACTGACAAAACTGAAACAGAGAGAAGGAGCTTGTTATTCTCACTGTTAATCTCTCCTATGCTTCAGCTACTTAATCGTTTAAAGTGATATATATATATATATATATATATATATATATATATATATCTGTGTGTGTGTGCGCGCGCACACACACACACACACACACACACACTAGGCCAGGCCAGCCCATTTCACAGCTTGAGGAGAAACCAGATGTTTCTGCCACTGCCCCTCTGCCAAAGCCTCGCATACCAGGGTCATGTGTCAGCAGGGACAGTGCGCTAGCAGGGGTGCCACTCTGCAGAATTTCACTGCCCAAGGCGGGCCAACTCTGATACACATGCATCCCTATAAACTATTCCAGAGACTGGGAATCTGGTTTTGCCAGAAATTAACCCTGGAAAGAAAAGGTATGTTGGAACTGAATGAGAGAGGATGCTTCCAATAGCCCCCCCCATAACACACTCGCAATAGCAAGGTCTGATTCTGCTAACTCACCCAATAATGCCACAGGGATTGCATGACAAAAGGGGCTTACTGGAAAGGGAAAAGGCCTTATTTGTTTGCAATGCCCCATATACATCTGTTTTCTTGTGGGGTACAATCAGTTTTCCATGATATAGCTTACAATTCAGCTCTCACCAGCAATCTCCCTCAAATGGGGCATTTTTCTCTATGTGAGATTGGATGCAGACATACTTTGGTTATTTTCATTATTCCATATTTTGGTTCTTTCCCTACTATGTAGAAGACCAGAGGTGGGAAACCTGTGGCCCTCTGGATGTTACTATACTCCAATGCCCATCAGCCCCAGTCAGCATGGCTAATTATCAAGGATGATGGGAGCTGTAGTCCAACAACATCTGGAAAAGACCCTAGAATGTGATCAGCAATGCATACTTCATCAGTGCAAACCATTACTTAGAGTTCAAGAAATAGCAAAAGCTTAAAAAAATAATGTTCCATGAAACAGAGTGAGTCTGATTTGCACTTACCCTGGATTTTGAGTTGCCTATTCCCAGTTCCATATCCTTCTGCAGTCTTTTCCGCCTGCACTTAAATAACTTAATGATCCTTATAAAGAAATAAACAAAAGACTTGGGACTTGGGACAAGACTGAATGGAGGCGGCAGGGTTTTCCCATCATCGAAGTATGATAGCCAGAGCTTAGAGCGAGCAAATTTCCACTCCACATCACTGTCATCCTACATTGGGAACAAAGAAATGTCCATTTATTTATTTATGAATGGTCTTATTCGACTGCACATTATTTTTACCCCACTTTTCTGTGCAGGGACACATAAAGTGCCTTACTGGATAAAAACATGAATAACAAACAAGCAATTTCAATTATAAAAAAGATGAGAAGAGAAGAGGCAAGAAACAGAAACAGCAGTGAATAACTAGTAGAAAGAAGGAAGAACAAAGGACTACAGTGGTACCTCGGGTTACATACGCTTCGGGTTACATACACTTCGGGTTACACACTCCGCTAACCCAGAAATAGTGCTTCAGGTTAAGAACTTTGCTTCAAGATAAGAACAGAAATCGGGTTCCGGCGGCGCGGCAGCAGCAGGAAGCCCCATTAGCTAAAGTGGTGCTTCAGGTTAAGAACAGTTTCAGGTTAAGAACAGACCTCCAGAACGAATTAAGTACTTAACCCGAGGTACCACTGTACACTCCCTGCTCTGTCTCCTGGGTAAAACAAGGTTTACTGAGAAGCACAAGTGTTATCACACCACATTCTGATCTTCAGGATTACAGAGTCCTCCTCTTTCTTTACCAAAGTCTCTCAAGCCATACTTGTTCTCCAGTGACTCATATGAAGTATCCTGCAAGGAAGTGGCAGGGTTTAGGCATATCCAGTGGTGCTCACACTTCAGGTGTTCTCTGGTAATGTTCAGTAAACATTCCGGGGTGGGAGGAAGTTCTGCAGGATCTAGCACCGTAGCTCCACATACATAGCATCCTTGTTCTGAACACCCTCCACAAGTTGGAGGGCAATCTTCTGAAGTATGGAGTCTCCTGGTTATGGGCTGCTACTGCTGGCATTAAATATTCACTTTTGTTGTGTCAAAGGTTCACCTTTTCCCAATTCTCTCCGTCTCATCATCAACATCTTTACCCAGATGTACTGAATAAAATGAGACTTACTTCCTAATAAGTATGCTTAGGATTCCAACCTGTTTCCTCCCCCCCCCCCACTATATTCTATGACTCCCAAGTCCTTGAATCTCGTCGTCTTCTTTTCAGTACTCTTGGGACAAAACAAGAGTATGGCTGATATCCAAAGAGTGACTTACGTACTTCCACAAATTTAGCCATGCCTAGTAGGATTTTTTAAAAAACCAACAACAACACAAGCCCCATGCCAGAACACAAATTTCTTGGGGGGATTCTTTCAGTCTGAAACTCTGTTGCTCTGAATAGAAACCCCCAGTCATTCAAGAGCTGGATAATGCAATACAGAGAGCTTTAATTCTAAGTAATAAAAATAAACCTATTAACAATGCAGAGTTATTTGGACGTGTTCCCCACAGCTAAACTGAAGAAATGGTCTGAGGAGGTTCAACACTGTAAAATACCATTGTTTGCAACATATGAAGAGTCAGTGTTGTATCGATAAGAGTGTTGGCCCAGGACAGTGGGGACTGGGGTTCAAATCCCCATTAAGCCACAAAGCTCACTGGATCATCATGAGCCAATCACTCTCAGCCTAACCTGCTTCACAGAGTTGTGAGGATAAAATACAGAGGAGGAGAAACATGTACAGGGCAATAAGTACCTTAGAAGAAGAGTGGGATAAAAATCTAATCAATAAAATTAAAAAGAAAGCAGTCAATTAGTCTGAAAACATACTGAACTTTCTTCGAATTTCCCAGGATGCATAACATTCTTATTTATTCGGGATACTAAAAAATAACACTACAGCGCTGGAAGTTTCTCTTGAGAACCAAGATTAGTGGAGTTATTTGCCAAGCATGCTTACATCTTATTTACATGTAAAATATACTATTATCTATTTCAACTGCACTGTGTTTAGAACATAAACATCCAGGATGATATGATTAATTTTTTTAATGATGTGTTTTGCAGTCCTGCTGAATAAGGCGCTTTCTGGAATAAAAAATGTGGCTATCAGTAATTGATTAAGTAACACACATTAGCCCTCTTTGAAAATCTGACACCCTGCAGATGTTAAGTACAGCCTTGGCTGTTTTAGAATAAACACCTACGTATTTCTAATATGCACCTAGGATTAGAACCAAGCTTTAAATATGGTAAGCAGAAAAAGATGCTTAGGTTACACGCTGAATAATTAATATTTGGAAATGCAGTTTAGTCATCATAACACACTCCCAGAATGCATTTTCACCAACTCTTACCAGATATTAACCTTTTTAAATATGGGAGGGGGGGACTGGCAAAAATGGTCTCACACCCCTTTTTGTTAGCAAGACTGTCTGCTTAGTAGAGATCCTTCTGTTCACAGAAATGCACGTTTTGATCCAACCTAGTATACATGGATATATCTTCAAACTGAAATTGATACTTCCTGGATCTTAACAAGTAAGATATCTACAAAAGCTTATGTTACAATAAATCAGGTTTTAAAGACCCTTTAGTATTTGTTTTCATATTAATGTAATCGGCAGCACCACAGAGTCCTGTTGACACAGCAAAGATGACTGTGTTGATAGAATGTGACATAATTATTTATCAGAATCACAAAATTAATTATGTGAGGTGGAGGGGTGGGTGTCTATGTTGTTACAGTAAATCTCCTATTTCCTGGTACTCAGGTCATAATAATTATGCAAATCAGGCACATTTGTATTTATTCAATTTTGGAAAACATGTTATGCTTACAGAGAATTTGAAAATCTAACCTTTGCTCTCACCCATCAGGGCTTCTCCTATGTTCTTATTAACACAGAGATGAATTATAATTATATTTTATGGTTTTAATTTTCACTTGTAAACCTCCCAAAGGATTCTTTTGTGATGGGGCAGTATCTAAACGCTGGAAATAAATATGTACAGAAATGGAGTGTGAAGTTATCTCACTATTAATTTTTATATGAGGGGCCTGCAGTCACAAGAGCAGCCGATCAGAATCATGCATCATGACACTGGCCTGTCCAGTCCAGCATCTTGTTCTCACAATGACCAATTTGATGCCTACAGGAAGCCTGCAAGCAAGACCCAAACACAAGACGACTCTCCCCCATTGAAGTATCCAACAACTGGTATTCATAAGCAGGTAAAAAAAGGTAAAGAACCCCAGGATGGTTACATCCAGTCAAAGGCGACTATGAGGTTGTGGCGCTCATCTTGCCTTTTGGCCGACGGAGCCGGCGTTTGTCCACAGACAGCTTTCCGGGTCATGTGACCAGCATGACTAAACCGCTTCTGGCACAATGGAACACCGTGAAGGAAACCAGAGCACACAGAAACACCGTTTACCTTCCTGCCACAGCGGTACCTATTTATCTACTTGCACTGGTGTGCTTTCAAACTGCTAGGTTGGCAGAAGCTGGGACAGAACAACGGGAGCTCACTCCGTTGCGTGCATTCGAACTGCTGACCTTCTGATCAGCAAGCCCAAGAGACTCAGTGGCTTAGATCACTGAGTATGGATGGATGGATGGATTCATAAGCATACAGTTTCTGACTATCATGCCTAGTAGCCATTGACAGCATTATCTTTATTTTTACAACACTTTATAGGTGGGGGGTGACAGTAGCTGAAGGGAGGAAGAGGAAATGGGAAAGCTTTCTTCCCATGAACTTTCTTAAGTTAACATACCTTAGGGTCTAAGCCAGGCATAGGCAACCTTCAGGCCTCCAGATGTTTTGGCCTACAACTCCCACGATCCCTAGCTAGCAGGACCAGTGGTCAGGGATGATGGGAACTGTAGTCCAAAACATCTGGAGGGCCGAAGGTTGCCTATGCCTGTTCTAAGAAGTTATGGTAAGCTGAGAAACAGTACATACAGAACAAATCTTTGCAAGGTGGGTGGGCAAAATAAAGCAGAAAAGTACCCACCTCAATTTCTTGATAGGAGCTGTTGATCATGGCAATCAGCATGTTGAGTAAAACCACAACCATTGTTACGTTGTATATTCCATACAACACGTAGCCAATATTTTCAATGAATTTGTGGTCATATTTGAGGACAACTGACGTGACCTCCGATAAGCCAAAAATTGACCAAAATAAGGTCTTAAAGCTTTCTTCAACTCTGTATGAAAAAAACATGGTATGTTAATGAATTCAAATATAAATACTTGTAAATTGTTTTGTTTAAAAGTAGATGATTCAAAGATCCTAGTGCAGACATTTAATCAAAACAAGATGCTCGCAACATAAAATGTTTTCAGGTAACTTGATTCCCCTGTGGCTTTTTTGCATATTGCCAATTATGTTTGCGGCTGGTGAGCTGTATTAACAGAATTAAGTTTGACAGGGGAAAGTGGTGGTGTATTGCCATTTTTTATATCCTTGTAAACCAGGATGCTGCCTTACAACTTTGATTAGATACTTGTTTAATAAAGTAAATGGCATCATCTCTAGAACTCCCTGCAAACTGTGCAAAAATTAAATGAAATATAGTGCAGAGGCATAGCTCAACTTGTCACAACAGACTTGCACTTTTTATATATAAAAGCCCCAAATGTACATGTGTGTGCATGCACAGCTATTTCAACATAGCACAGAGTGATTCTTATAACAATTGCTTGCTTTTATGAAAAATGCATGATTATTATATGTCACTGCGTATTATAGCATGCGCAGTGGACACACATGTGCAATATTACATGCCCCAACTATAAATGCATTAGTCCATGAATGGTGTAGATTTGGCATTTTTTTTGCAGGAAAAAATCCAGTTATTATATGAGTGACTGTATGGTATACCATTCTCAATCTGCTGTACATTCATACAAATCTTCAATATCACATGCCCTGTAAGCTTCATTTTTTAAAAAACAACATAAGAATGTTAAATAGTTTGTCTGACTACATAATGCACCTGGTTATACCTATATAATAACTGCAATTCAAATACATTCAGTAACATTTACTCTCGGGATAGGCAATTATGGGTAGGAGGGGGCAGAGGAGAAGCTAGAATCAGCTGAATCCATTCAAATGAACTGAGTGACAAGTTATTGTGTTGGACATGCATGTGTAAACTAACTTGTACTGTAAACTTCCAGCAGCCTCCACCACAAAGAGGATGCAAAACTTTTGTCCTTTTTTCATATGCATTACTTACGTCGTAAATGCTGCGTTTACTTTGGCTCCAAGGTAATAGGAGTACAATATGAACATCCCAATCATAAAGGCAAGGAATACCATAATAAAAAGGACCATAAACTTGAAAATGTCTTTTACGGTCCTTCCAAGGGAAATCTGCAATGGGCCAAAACTCTCATTCGCAGGCAGGATATAAGCTATTCGAGAGAAGCTAAGCACAACAGCTATTGCATAAAGACCTTCTGATATGATCTGCGGATCAGATGGAAGCCATTTATCTCGAGCTGAAAGAAAGAGACATAAATGAGAAACTGTTGCTTTATGTGTATTTTTTTATTGCTTGTTAAAAAAATAAAATATCTGGCCGTTCTATATTCATATATCTTGATAAAGATACATATTTATAGCGCTGAATAGATATTTTTGAGTAATTCGAATTCACCACGACCTTGTAAGAGAAGTTGATTTGGAGGAAATAATTCATGACTTTGTGATGAAAAAGGCCAGAAAGCTTTAAAGTGATTTGATTTACTTATCAAATGTTTGTAGCCCTTCAAAACTTCAACAGAATAATATATTTATTTGGATTTATTTATTTATTAAAAGTTGCAAAACAGACACCAAGCTTTGTAACACTCTTCTTCAAGCTGGATGCTGTTAAAACAAAAATAGGAAAAAAATAGAAAGTTGTTTGAGGACATGATAGAAGAGATCCAACGGGTGGAGATCAATGTATTAAATGAAATTGCAGAAGAAAAATCAAAACTTTTCTTTCATGATTTATAAGGTCATATGCAAGGAGTAGCATCTTCAGGAGGAGGCTTGTTTTATAAGTTTGTACTGGGCTCAAAAAAGTAAAGGTAAAGGTAAAAGGTCAAGGACCCCTGGATGGTTAAGTCCAGTCTAAGGCGATTATGGGGTTGTGGTGCTCATCTCGCTTCAGGCCGAAGGAGCCGGCGTTTGTCCACAGACAGCTTTCCAGGTCATGTGGCCAGCATGACCAGACTGCTTCTGGAGCAATGAAACACCGTGTCGGAGGCCAGAGCACATGGAAACACCATTTACCTTCCTGCTGCAGCAGTGCCTATTTATCGTGCTTTTGAACTGCTAGGTTGGCAGGAGCTGGGACAGAGCAACAGGAGCTTACTCCATCACAGGAATTCAAACCACCGACCATCCGATTGGCAAGCCCAAGAGGCTCAGTGGTTTAGACCACAGCGCCACCTGCGTCCCAAGTATGCTTGGGTGGTTATATGAGGTTACAGGTGCAACTCACCCGGTGGGGCAGAGCTGCAACAACAGCATCGTGGCAGCAGAATTGCTATTACTTACTGGGAGGGTCAATGTGGGGGCTGTGGGGCTGTGCCAGTAGACCCAATCTACCCTGTCCCTCCCAGTAAGTAATAGCAATGCCGCTGCTAGGATGATATTGTTGCAGCTGTGCTCCACTGAGTGAGCATCTCCTGTGATAATTGGACTCGATGGCCCTTGTGGTCTCTTCCAACTCTATGATTCTGTGATTCTATGATTCCTCATGCTATTCCTTTAAAAGGATGCTAGCCATTTTAATATACTAGAGACACGAAAACATTTCTTTGACTTGCCGTAAGTAAAATATTCTATGTTTGGTGGAAGTGTGACTTCAGAGAGGTCTGGCTCTTGAATGAAGTTGTCCACATACTGCTGTGCTTTTGTAGCCTGTAGAAAGGCCAGCAGCCTTGCTGTGAAAGCGGCAATGAAAATAGACAACATCCCAAAATCCAGAACGTTCCACAGCTGCAAAATATATTCTCGGGGTCCTTCTGTCCAAAGCTCCTTGCACTCGGACCACATCATGCCTAAAAACCAGAAAAGCAATAAAAACACAGTGAAGACTGCAGACTGCTACACACTGACTTGGCAGCAAGCCGCTGAACTCTGCGAGACTGACTTCAGAAATGGAATTGTACAAGTGAAAATGGTTTCGGCCTTTCTTAGCTGCTTTACACAAGGCATGCCATACTTGAAAGCCACTTCCATGCAGAAAACTGCAAGGATCTCACCTGTCACACTAGATTTATGTACAGGGTCATAGGCCCATTCTGCAATATTACTGGTGTAACAGACCTCGTGAAATGTTAGCACAAAGTGGAATACAAGCAAGACATATAAATCTGCATATCTAACCCAAACTCACACTCAGATTATCTGAGCTCTTATCTTGATTACCAGACTTAGGTTAGTCCTTGCAGGAAAGTGAGGTAGGTAATCTTCAGCAGCTGCTTGGCGGAAGTATTCCAGCCTCCCTCCTGAGCACTACCTGAAAAAGTAACACTTCCCTATTCTCACCTGCAGAAGAGAAACTGCTGCTCAGCATTGATGGATTTATTCCATTCAGTCATCTAGCCTGGGAGCAGCCGGGTCACCTTAAGGTGACAGGAAGAAAAGGAAAGAGAAAGTATATGTGGGGTGTTGTGTGTATGCACACTCATATGTCTAATGGAAGATTCAGGTGCTCTGAAATTTTCTGGCATTCTATTGTGCTAAGGGAACAGTGTTAAGTTGTGGGTGAACATATCAGACGACACAGCAATTCTTCAAACAGCTCTTGTTTATTCACAGGCCCAGCGGCGTAGCGTGGGTTGTCAGCACCCGGGGCAAGGCAAGTAATTTGCGCCCCCTAACCCGGGGCAAGGCAAGTAATTTGCGCCCCCTAACCCCTAACCTGCCGCCGCTGCCAGCTTCTTCTTGCTGCTGCCTGGTCTGGTCTGGTGTGGTTCTCTTCCGCGCTCAGCGCTGCGCTGGGCGGCCGCTGCACTGTCCCTCCCCCAGATAGTCCCTCGCTCTCTCTCCGCACCGCACGCCTGGCACCCACCCCCTCCACAGTGGGCGGCGACCCAGCGGCTCGGATCGGATCCGCACAGCCAGCACTGCAGTGAGAGAGAGTGAGTGAGCCAGGTAGGGGCAGAGAGCTGCGAGTGCGAGCGTGCCCCCCCCCCAGATGTTGCGCCCGGTGCGGCCGGCCCCCCCTGCACCCCCCACGCTACGCCACTGCACAGGCCACAACAGAACTGAACTGAACTGAACTGCTTATATAGAGCACCACTAGAACGCAACAGTAACCATTTTCTGTAACTATCCAATCACTGAACGTCACTTTCAATCACTTATCTGCATATGTGGACCTGAGTGAAAGCTATCTACAGTATCCCCCTGCTGGCCCAGGGTGAGAACTTCAGTACATAACAAACAGACCTCCACAATTTTAGATAGGATGTTCATTTTATATGAACTTGAAGAGAATGTTAATGAAATTGAAAAGGCATACAGGTACAGGGTAGTATTCGAATAAGACATATGCAGAATAAGACTACTGGAGCAACATACAATAGACTCATTGAAATCAACAGATTTGTCTAACACCGGTTTATTTTAACGGCTGTACTCTGAATTTGACTTGGTTGCAGCCCACAACTTTTAAATTATTTTTAGTCCTCTACAATAAGGTCTCTGAAAGAGCAAAATAAAAATGCCAGAGTTATTTTAAGGCTCTAGGGATCAGTGATCAAGGCTATTGACACTCCCAGGCTATGGGGAAATGATGTGCAATCTCCAGAGTTTATTTAACTAAACTCTTGAGATTTTCAGTTCAGTCTAAATTAAGAAACACAGCCATTATAGATTTGGCTAGCTGATCTATCTGCCTATCATGTTGCTTCTCTTATCTCTTTAAGTTGTAGTGAGATTTATTTATTTACTGGAGCGAGAAAGACTTCTTCCCAGATCCCTTGGGTATTCAACACATATGCTGTAATTTGCATTGAACATCTAAGGTCACTGGGAAGAAGTCTGATGCGATTTTTGCGACAAAACCTTACACCAGCTCTTTGTTTCAAAAAATATACGTTTTACGAGTAGCACTCTCTAAACCAGAGCTTTCCAAACTGCGTGTCATGACAACACGTTAGTGTGTCGGCTGCAGTGTGTAGGTGTGTCGTGTGAATGCTCCCCGTGCTCCTCCCAGGGTTACAAAGGGGTTTGTTTAACCTCCAGTTTGCTAGTAAAACTGAATTACTGTGTCGCGAAATGCTGCATGTCTAAAAGTGTGTCACCACCATGAAAAGTCTGGAAAGCCCTACTCTAAACCATTAATGATGCTTAGTTTTAATTACCGTATTTTTTTGCTCTATAAGATGCACCAGACCATAAGACGCACCTAGTTTTTGGAGAAGTAAAACAAGAAAAAAAATATTCTGAATCTCAGAAGCCAGAACAGCAAGCGGGATCGCTGTGCAATGAAAGCAGCAATTCCTCTTGCTGTTCTGGCTTCTGGGATAGCTGCGCAGCCTGCATTCGCTCCATAAGATGCACACACACTCCCCCTTACTTTTTAGGAGGGAAAAAGTGAGTCTTATAGAGCAAAAAATACGGTAGTTCTGTTTGTGAGATCTCTGCCTAGAAATCTACTACGATAGACCCTCGGGTTACTCTCTAGTAATGTAAACTTCGGGTTGCAAAAGTGGCAAACCCGGAAGTATTTTTCCGGGTTTTGCTGCTCATGCATGCGCATAAGCGCTCTGTGCCCCTGGATACAGATTTTTCAGGGTGCGCACAGACCCCTGGAAAGAATTAATGAATTAAATCCACTGTACAGGAGCAGCATACAATAGCTATGACAGAAAGCAGTTTTATCGAAGAATGCCACAGAAAGTAATCAGGTTGACACTGAGATAGAGAGGCTATATACATACCAAGCACCCATACCATGATCAGCATCTCTGTCCAGCTGAACTGAGTGGTCTTAACCCTAAAAATCTGTTTAGGGTAATCAGTAACTGTCACGTTGGGTAATACTGTGACCCCTTCAAATCTGTCTGAAGCGTTGAACACCAGCAGACCCAAGAAAATAATGAAGGAGGCTGCATGTGCCACAAACTTCATAAATGGACTTCTGAGAACTTTTCCAAGCTGAGAAAGCAAAGGAGAATATATTTGTTTTTAAGCAATGTATGCTTTCATTTTCAACAAACATGGCACATGCCAAAAATGCATATTTTATGCTAATTTTCAATTTAGGGATACTTCTTTCCATGCAATTTAACTATTGTAAAGCCATACTTAAGAATCCTTCACCTAAATGACTGTTGTATATTTTTATGCTTTTGTAAACCGTTTTGGAATCACATTTTGATGAAAAGTAGCACCAAATTGTTGGCAATCCTGTGCAAAAGCTGAAAAGGTTTTGATTCATACATTTTAATTGGTCTAAAGCAACCCCACACACTGTTGCAATCTCTGAGGGGCTTCTAGGGGTTCCCTCACTGCGAGGGAAGTGAGGTTACAGGGAACCAGGCAGAGGGCCTTCTTGGTAGTGGCACCCACCCTGTGGAACCTCCTCCCATCAGATGTCAAGGAAATAAACAACTATCTGACTTTTAGAAGACATCTGAAGGCAGCCCTGTTTAGGGAAGTTTTTAATATCTGATGTTTTATTATGTTTTTAATATTCTGTTGGGAGCCACCCAGAGTGGCTGGGGAAACCTAGCCAGATGGCTGGGGTATAAATAATAAATTATTATTATTATTATCTCAAGTAAGCAGCATTAACAGGAGGCCTATGAGGCCACCAGTATGTTGGGTAACACATACTGATCCTTATAGTGTGTGTGTGTTTTTCTTTTCATAGACTTATATTCTACATTTCTTCCATCATTGAGCCCAAGGGGGTATTCATGCAGTTCTCAGGCTCTTGTATTGACCAGACCTCGTTAGCTTCAGCAAGATGATGGCCTCGTGTACCTACAGATCATACTTGAGATAGCTTTTCTTCATAAGAGAGAAGAGAAGAAGATATAGGACCTCTTCCCTAGGTCATCCAAGCACAGCGGCCATAACCTATTTTATTTAGTTTAGAAACTTGTTATAAATCACTAATCTTTAGCATTATTTGATTTGCATAGAGTGTTACTTCCTTTTAGTAACAAGAGTATTCATGCTCCAAATTCACTCGCCCAACAGAAGTACAGGATACGAAACTGTAAAACATTCTGGTGTAACAGAAACGAGTAATCGCAGTTACATTAACAATAGCAATTATTTGGTTTCAGCAAGGTATCAAGAGAAACAGGAATACGGCCTTCAGCACACGACTGGGTCTCTCACTTCAACAGAGGGCTTTCTGAAATGAAATTCATTTACACACCAAAAAAGCCAAAAACAAAACCTTGTACCCTGCTACATGGTGCAATCCAGTACCCAACGGCAAGAAATGGGAGGCCCAGTGCTACCACCAGCACAACTAGACACTTGATCGCTATGGCCTGTTCCCGTAGTCCTGAGAGGTTTTCATACCAGATGGTCAACAGCTGTTGCTGACAGTTTGGATGGGCCACAAACTGTGGGGAAAACAGAAGAAAAACAAGTTACACAGATACTGAAGCACATGTAATTAATACACTGCAGGGTTGGGTAACCTGTGCCCGACTCCCCAATATAAGTCGTTGGACTCCAACTCCCATCAGCCCCAAGCAGCATGGCAAATTGGATTGATGGAGCAGCATGTGGAGGAACAAAGATTCTATTGCACCTATTGCAACAGCTCACATTTTCCATTTCCTAAGAATACAGATAGTGCAAACATTAACATGTTAATAGAAGAGATATTTCAGTTGAGAGTTGAGAGAACCTTTCAGTTTCCGTCAAATCTTTATATAATGATGAATAATTTTCTGTCACACAACTATTGGGACACTGGATCATGCTACAAGCATATTCCTACTTCGACAGAGGAGCCGCATGCTAGAAATCATGATTCTCCCTCTCATTACTATGCTTGGGATAAAGCCTTTATTCTTTTTAGTGTGAATTCACAATCCTCTCCTGTGTACCGTTTCCATGCATAAATGCTCTTAAACAAAACTAAACAAAACAAAACAGGACCACTTTAAAATGAAATAAAAGGAACGATGCTGAAAGAGGTTATAATAATTTGCCTCTCCATTAGGGACAAGATTTTCACATGGCGTGAGATTCTTTTGAACAAGCAATCGCCCATTTATGGTCATCCAATACAAAAACTTCATGTTTGAAAAGGAATTATACCCCAATATAGCCACTGTAGAGGTGTTAGGGAACAGGGAACAGAATAATAGGTAAAGTAAAAAGGTAACGGACCCCTGGACGGTTAAGTCCAGTCAAAGGCGATAATGGGGTTGTGGTGCTCATCTTGCTTTCAGGCCAAGGGAGACGGCGTTTGTCCACAGACAGCTTCTAGGTCATGTAGCCAGCATGAGTAAACCCCTTCTGGCACAACAGAACACTGTGACAGAAGCCAGAGTGCATAGAAATGCCATTTACCTTTCTGCCACAGTGGTACCTATTTATTTACTTGCACTGGTGTGCTTTCAAACTGCTAGGTGGGCAGGAGCTGGGACACAGCAATAGGAGCTCACCCTGTTGCGGGGATTTGAACCGCCAACCTTCTGACCGGCAAGCCCTAGGCTCTGTGGTTTAGACCACGATGCCACCCACATCCCCTTGAACAGAATAATACAGTGAGTAGAAATGGCTCTTCGGATTGAGTGGTAGCTGGTGAGATGTGTTACTAGGTCAAATCGCCAGTGACCACAACGTGGTGACAGGGATTTTAGACACATTCCTGTCCTTGCTTTTCAGCGATTGAAACTGGCTATGGATGTGGCAGGTGCCACAACTAGCACTTCGCAACTGCATAGTGGCTGAGTGGATGGTTACCACAACATGAGCACCACCTACTGAGATCATCAAGTTAACCATGCTTCCCAGAAGGTGCCTCATTGCCACTTAATGGGAGGAGAGGGAACGGCAATGCAGCAGGGAGGTCAGGCAGTGTGGGCGCAATGGCAGGTGCACTGGATTGGCTCTGCCTGTGAGCCAACCTCCCCGCCACTCATTCCTTCTCCTCCTGGCAAGTGGGAGCAACACAGCTGCCGGGAAGCCAGCATTGCAGTTCGGCCCAGCCGGGTGAACGACTTCTGTCATGCGCTTACATAGTACTATCTCTACTATGTACCGCCTCCACTGTCAACTCATGTCAAACGTGTATGTGGGGAATTTACTCTCCCCCTTGTAGCAACCACAGCTGGATCCAAACCACAGGGTTAGATTCAAGGAACCCTGGCAGAAGGAAAATGGCCAATACTGCTATTCTGCAAATATTAGGCATGGGTTGATCCATTAGAGAGATTCAGTATGTCATGGATACAGTGGTGATGATAAATTAACAGCAGTAATTAGAGACTGCTTATTATGCAGTGTGTGTGTGAAAACACGGTGTTCTCTCTTCAGGATGAACAGCATTTTGTTTTAGCTACGTACAAACTGCTGTCATAGTCACCTATGGAATTGGCACAGTGCCATAACATACGACAGAAATTCTCATGCTTCTGCTTTAGACACTGGCCTGTTGTGTAAGGGAACGTAATCTTTGGGTTTACCTCCACTTTTCTCAAACAAAGCTCTAGTGATGGATATAGAAGAGCTCTTCTGTGATTGGAAGAGCAGCTTTGAAAGACCATTGTGCAGTGCTAGAACACATGTTTGCATACAGAAAGCCCCAGATTCAGTCCATGGCATCTCCAGGTATGGATGAAATACCCTGGCTGAAACCCCGGAGAGCCTGTTGCTAGTTGGTGTAGCTCAGAGGAGGGAACTTTCTCCCTCCCTGCCCAAGAATCACATTCCTCTGGGGTAATCTGTTGGGGCCACATGCCAGCAGCAGGCAGAGTTAAAGCCAATACAATAGCGAGGCCACTCATCTCTCACTATTTCTGTCACTCCTGCTCACTCTCCCAGCAGCTTCTCTCTCTCTCTCTCTCTCTCTCCACCAAGAGGGCTGCTTAGGGATGGACAGAATGCTCTCATCAAGAGGGTTCCCCCACGCTTCTGCTCCTCCATCCATTTTGGCTTCGCCATCTGTTATGTACTGAGCTGAATCCTAGAACAATAGGATCCAGAATGCAGCAGTCTGATTGGTCCGCAAGGAGCCACCCAATCCAGCTCCAGGTGGAAGTGAATCAGCAACCTGTTGGCCTGCAGGAGCAACCAATCAGGCTCCTGGATAAAGTGAATCCGCAACCTGATTGGCCTACAGGAGCAGCCCAGAATTAGCCAATCGTGCAGGGCCCATTGTGTAAATAATGTATACAGTATATAGCTAGACATTTTGGGGAAAGTTTCATTCATTGCTACTACGAGCTGAATAAAGAGCATGAAATTCACACTCGACTCCAAGTATATTTCACCATCCCTCCTGGCAAGTCTCCTTCTTCCAGCCTCCCACCACTGATGTGACTTTAGATCAAAAGCTGCATGCTAAATGGTGCAAGGCAGCTTTTTCTGTTCCTATGAATCCAACCCAATTTATATGACAAGAAACAAGCAGCTACAACCCCACACAGGAAACTTAGGTTTATCGATTCTACTGAAATCAATAGGCTTAAGCATGCCTATTGTTTCATTTCCCAGTGGTATTTGGCTGGGCTGTGTGATAGCCAAAACAACTATAGACTCTGATGGCACCTTAAAGACCAAGAAATGCTAGTTGTTTGTGGACTAGAACATTATCAGATTCATTTTCAATTTCTGATCATGGTCAATGTATCAAAGCAAAGTCCACCTGAAGCAATACTACCCACCAATACGATGAGGGCAAGCAAGGCAGATACTGTAGTAACGTACCATTCCCAGTTTTGATTTTCCTGATAAATTACATGTGAACTGGAGGAATATTTCTAATATTATGAAAATTAGAAAGACTTCAGGCTCTCAGTATGTATCAAGCACCTGTATATACACTAAATCACATGGGAATTCTCACTGGCAAATATTTATGATTGCAAAAAATACTCCTTCTGATTATGATGTTGCCGATATAACTCCATTAATAGGTTTTTTTAAGCTTCATTATCAGCTACCAAAATTATAATAGCAACCTATTCACATGTCGCCACTGCTCTTGAATCTGAGGCATATTTCTTAAAAATAATATTAAATTACAAGCTTCCTCGAATAAGCTATTTCAGACTTTATAAAGAAAGGCTCCTGAATGTACAGATAGTTATCACCATACAATTTTATGTTATTATTAGGTTTGTTTATTTGGCATGTTGCAGAGTTGCTAACATCACAGTAACACCTCCACAGGCTCAAATGAGATTGGAAACATGCTTTTTTCAGAAACTAAAAATATTAACAGTTGTTCTTTCTTGGTGCAAGTGGGAATTTCATTTTAAATGTCCCTCATATACGTGATTAATATTTTTCTGCTTAAAATGCAGTAGTTGTACATAAAGGCACAGAACAAAACGGGCAGCCCTTTGTACAATAAAGGCAGGAGGCCAATAGTTTCCTGATATGTGGGCCTGCAACAAAATGTTGTTGTTTGAATTGCTCCTATTCAGAATGCCAACCAGCTAGCCATGTTCTCTTCCAGGATATTCCATTCCACCCAGTCCCCAATTGCCAGTCAGCATTCCACAGCCACTGAGTATAATCATGGGTAACACTTTTAAGCAATATGGTAAGCTAGGAAAACACTGTGGGGTTTTTTTGCATGCAAATAAGCAATAAGTGCCCAGAATTCTGAATATGAAAATGCCAGCAAAAATAGCTTTAAAGGGTTTTTTTTTTTAACTTACGTTCAGCATAGGTGAAGCTATTATTAGCCATTTACACAATATAACAAATCTTCAAGACATTTGGAAGGCATAAAGATTAGTTTTAAACTTGCTTTGATTAAGGGCTCATCCACACTTATCTGCACTTTAAAGCTCTGAGTGCCACCCCCCTTTTTCTTTGATCAGGAGCTTTGCCCATGAAAATCCACTCTTTAAAGCTGATTCGTAGCAAACAGCATTTCGGGTTTTCCACAGATTGCCATTTGCTCTGATCCAGCTTTAAAGAGCAGGTTTTCATGGGGAACCTCCAGGAGCAAAAAAAAGGGGGGTGCTCAGCCATTGTGTTTTAAAGTGCAGAGCATGCCTGTGAGAAGTGAGAAGGAGAGGCAAGCATGGACAAGCCTTAAAGCAGCCTTCAGGAGCAAGCTAACTTGCATCCTGCACCAAAGAGACGAAAATTATGTTAAAACTCTGAAATTACTAAATGTGCATGTTTTGTTATATAAAGCCAAAATCAGAGATGTGGCTGAGTTACACACTTGAGCACATGCATCAATCTTTTGGGAAAATCTTTCAGCATGCGTAAATTCTTCAGCAACTCTAAAATGACTTTAGATATCAGTTTTAGAGTTTTTAACTATCTATTCTTTGCAGCTGTGATGGTGTCAGGGTAGACATCACTGGGTACCTGCCAAGATACACACCTTAGCATTCCCCATTTCCACTCCTTAGAGTCCCCTGACCCCTTTCTTACTGTGACACAGCACATAATTAAACTGTGGGATTTTCTCCCTCTAAATCTAGCGATAGCCACCAACCTGAATGACTTTGAAAGAAGGATTAGGGCCTACCTGGCCTAGTATCCTTTTTCAAATACTGCCTAGCCACATACATGTCGGGATGCTCTGCCAGAGACACTCTTCTTCTAATTGTGAAGGTTATGGGACAACCCAGCGAGATGGGTGGGATATAAATTACTACTACTACTATTTGCTATTTAACCTCCATTAATTTGTCTAAGAGCAACATGTTCATATCTAGATGTTTATATTTTAGCTTAATACGCCAAGATATAAACGAGCCACTCATGGCCACTTCACTCCATCCTTTGCTAACAGACCAAGATGTTTTCCAGTTAGCTATACTTTCCCATTTCATGAACCATGCCATGAAACCGTGGTTAACTACTTTGGAACATGCAAGGAGACAAAGCCATGGTTTGAAAATGGCTTCATATTCTTGCTTATTCTGAAGCCATTATTTGGTTCTATTGAAGCAAGAAACTATACCTAACTTGAATGTTTCCTGGTTGGTTGGTTGGTTGGTTGGTTGGTTTGCTGGCTTGCCTGAATGCAAGGTCAAGGTGGCTGCATGTGAGGGCACAAGGCTCAAGGTTCATTCCTATCTCAGCTTATTAAACGAATATATGATCATCCGAATGCAGCTATTAATTCTAATTTTAACACAGCATCTCTTAGGAGAGTGCAGAGCAACTCAGAATACTTGATTCACAAATATGAAGAAAAATACTGGCAACATGTTTCCAGTCATCCATATATTCCCCCCCCCCCAGCTGGGCATTTGTACAAAAATAATAACAAACAAACAAACAAATAAATAAATAAAATTCAGACAAGGGAACTCAGTGGAAGGTTTTAGCAAAGAAGACAAGAGACATTTGTCAATGGATATTTCTCCTTGAAGCACATTAGAGCTGATTCTAACCATTTTCCTTTCACTTCCTTATACCCCAAATCAGTACTTTTAAAATTATACTATCTCTAAAGTAGCACCATTTGCATCAATTGCTGCACTGTTGTTTTCTTCCTGACTTCTTCTCCCTAAACATTTCAAGAGACTATGAACTAATAGTCTTCCAGTCACTACTTATTCTAATACTTACTGTAACATCTTCGGAATTTCTGTTGCATTGCCTCTCACAAAAGATGCTCTCAACTAGAATATTTCTTATCAATCTCTATGCTAAGCTTAGCACTATTCTTAAGCCAGCTTCAATTTAATTCAGCATATGAACAAGGAGCAGATCCATTGAATAAGAACAAACTGGGTTTTACATAGCCACTTCCACAATACAAGAGACTTCCAACATTTTACAACCTGATAACAACCAGCTGAATTCCCCATCCAATGAACTCATTTTTCCTTTAGTCCCGTAACCCGAAGACTTGAGTAAAACCGTGTTTCCATTTTATTTTCCTTTATGGCTAAATCCTGTCAAAACCTAACAGGAACTGTCCCAGCAGGCTGCATTAATATTTTGAGAAGAATATAAGCGTAATACCTGAGCATTATCTGTATTTTCCATTTAAAACTTACAAAGAAATCAAGTGCAGAAGTCCTTATCCTTGCAAACCTGAGTTCTCCAAGTAAAAATCACTAGAAAGTCAGCTCGTTTAGCAAGTTTCTGTAAATCCTCTGCAACTGCAAAGCGAAGCTTGCGGTACATACATACAACAGCTATTCTGAGCAACAGTTTCTAGAACTTTCTTCCAGACTTCCAATGTACATAAAATATATAAAGCATATGTAAAATACTAAATTGTTAAGCCTAATCAAAGAAAACTAGAAAAAGCAGAAAGTAGGATAGATCAACATGATAAATAGGTGATGTCAAATGACATCACAAGATTGACATGCAGATGGAGTTTATTAGGAATGGCTAATGGGTCATTTGGAGGAGCTTGGAGGACTGAATTAGGTCCACAGCCTGGAGGTTCTCCAACGTTGCCCTAAGTTTATAAAATCAGCAGATCCTTAAAGATCCAATGTTTTTAAAAGCCCAAGAGAACCTAATCAGTTGATTTGTGTTCAAAGGACACATACCTAGGAAATATAGAAATATTTGTTTTGTTGTGGTGCAGAATAAAAAGCAGACTTGTGGCTTTCCAAGTTATCCAGGGAAGTTCTGCACATCAGTTTCGGGTTATGAACAATCTGCAGAGCTACCTCTCATGCTTTCAGATTCGCTGCCTACTACAAAATCAGAATCACACTGACAAGACTCTACAGAAGGCAGGAGCCTTGTCTCCGAAGAAATGCCACAGAAGCATTCAGAAGCCAGCCGTGCACTCTACAAAGCCTGCACTGGTCCCATAAATTAATGGCCCCCACTGGCACCGTGAACAGGTAAAGCATGAGCTCAAAATGAAGCTTCCGTGGAGTGCAGGAATCACAGGCATTGCAACAACACACTTGGTCTCAGAAAGCTCTTGTAACACAGAGATATACTATATAAGAACTGGATAGTGTCAGTTTCCTTAAACCCATCTCTAATTAATAAACCCTTGATTATTTTTAAAGTTTGTGATCTATATAAATGAAAATATTCAAGTATCTATTAATCAGGGATGAGTTTAAAGAAACTAACACTATCCAATTTATGCACTGCAGTCTTATTTAGTAGGTTGGCTTTAACAGGTGGCTCACTATAACACAATGTGATTTATAACAGAAGCTGTGAAAAAGCTTGCTGTTACTGGCAGCATGGCCACCAAGGCAGACCTATTCAGATGTAAATAAATGTAGGTGTCACTTCCTTTCCGTAGTCCTCTAGCATTTGTGTTTTATTACTTCTCAGAGGTGATGACCCAAGGTGATTGTCTGTAAACGTTAAGACCCAGAAAGCACTGGCCTGGAAGTTTTATAATGGCTGTTTTCTATATAAATAAACTGCCCTTGGAACAGAGTTTGCTTCTGTGGCTATTTTAAAGACTTTTGTCAGCAGAACCCCCTAGAATATACTGTACATCTATCATATCTCACGTCATAGCAGATTCCTATGTAGAGAGACTCTAACCAAACATTATCGTTCCAAGCTTAAAATATGCTTCTCAGAGGCGGAGCTAGCTGCTGTGCCCTTGGGGGCAAGGCTAGGGGCTAGCGTCCCGGGGGGGTGCGGTGGCGGCGAGCGTCCCCGGGGGGGCGCCGCCTGCAGCAATGTCACCCCCCCCGGGATGATACCCAGGGTGGGGCGCACCCCCCTTTCTCTGCCAGTGATGCTTCTAAAAGGAACCAACAAGGCCTGTTTCTGTGCGGATGTGATACATCACTTCCGATCTGCAAGCAACTGCCTGTTGCACCTATTAGTTGTAAGAACAGTAACAGCTTTCAAAAGGTGAGTGCCATTTTTAATGTACTCTGGTGCATCTACCTCCCATTACACTGACACTACACACAATCCAGACAAAGTGAAGTACTTTTAAGTGCTGTTAATTTAAATGGAAGACACAAAATCAATGGGACACAGAAGAGCTTAACTGTGGCTGGATCATGGTCAGCGGGGGAGAAGGTTGAGTGGAATGGCAGTACAGTTAAGAACAACATAATGATATAACATCATTTCTATTTACAGAATGATTTCTCCAGTCTTTTTATTTATGCTGAAGACGGATCAAGACGTGGCTGTTTGTCTCTGGATGTTTTAATGGATAACATGCACATGCGTGAGAACACTGCATCACAATAATTGACTTGTGTATGACAGTCCCTATTATTTTCATTGAAAAATGCCAATCTCTCTGCTGCCTTATTGTGAAATCAGTTTGACATTAGTGAATTATTCCTGTCCAGAGGACAGGACCCATAAAGTGTTTACAATACAGCCCTGTTATAGTGCTTAAGGTTCTTGACGCAGGCAGTTTATGATGCAATGCATCCAGTATCATACTGTCTAAAAGAGACAGTCACTTACCTTTTTGACTTCATACTTAATTGCCAGTTTGACACGACTCAACGAAGCTCTGTGCCTTTGTGTTTCAACTGGCTCAGCCTCCAAATCTCCATTTAGAATGGATTCTACCTCTTCAGAGTCTCGGCAGAGATCAAGGACGCCAACCACAAAATCCTTGCATTGCATAGACAGCTTGCGATAGTCATTCTAAAAAGCAGACAATAGTTATTGAGTCACATCAATTCATGTGGAACTGATTTAGTAATGCGCATTTATTTAGCATATGTACATCCTGCAGATGACTGTCTAGGCTGGATTGCACATTTCTGCCCTCTTTTTCGTACATGGTATTCAAACGATACTTGAATTTGCATAGCAACACAGATACCAATGTGCACACTGAGACAGGGAAGAAAGACAAATGCAGCGCTATGCAGGTCCTCAAATTAGTGTATTATTAATTGTTATGATTTATTCTATTTACTGTGGCTTTCCACAAAAGCTGCATCAAAACGGCTTACAGATCCATTAAATACACAAGGCTTAAAAACATTTAAAAAACAAATACATAAAAGAACAGTTTATCTAAAAAGTGCTCGTGCAGCAATGAACCTAACCCCACCCAACTGAAAGATGAGCAGGTCAAAAATCACACTGTGCTATGATCCAAATTAATCCATCAAAAGCCTAGGTAAACAGGAATGTTTTAGCCTGGCATCTGAAAGCTGACAGTGATGGTGCCAGGCATGTTCTTCTGGGGAGAGCATTCTATCAATGGGGAGCAACCACTGAACAAGCCAGTTCTTACCACCCTCCACACATTTCTCAGAAGGGGCACACAGAGAGGGGCCTCTGATGACGATCGCCAAGATCCCGGTAGGTTCACAGGAGGAGTGTATGGTAAAGGCTGCTCTTATATTTGGTTTTGGTCCAAGAGGACCAAAGTAATCAAGAGCAGCAGTTCACGGGGCAGGATGCTAGAGTATTCCATATGATGGGTACAAGTCAATCACATTATTATCTCACCTCTCCCTTCTGTTACTCCAGTTGTCATTCATTTGTCTCTTACATTCCACGGCTCTCTGTAAATCTGTTATTACTGTCTGTCACCTCTGAAATATGGTCCTTGTGTTCAGAAACTCCTTAGCACACCAATCTCATGGAATTCTTTTCAGCACTGTTAATTTTAGTATTTAAGTCTTGTGCCTGGTTGCTTTCACTACAGAAGTGCTGAATACATGGACCTCTCTCTTCCCTGCCCCATTTTATAACTTTGCTTCGAATATGTCCCAACTTCCTCCTTATTTCAGAAAAGCATTTAGGGTTGCGATCCTATGCCACTTACATGGGAGTAAGTTCTATTGAAATCAATGGAGCTTACTTAGGAATACACCGTAAAACTCAGAGTTGCCAGCATCACTATGGCTACACCTATGACTTCAAAAGTCATTATCTCCCTGTCCTAAGATTACAGAAAGGTGAAGACTCTAAAATTAAGGAACTGATTTCATTTGTTTCCTGCCTTCTTAGTTGTGACTTCTTAGTCCCTCAAAAGGCTTAGCTACAATACATAATTAACTTTTTTTAAAAAACCACATGATCAACTTGGGTTGTTAAAAATGTGGGCCAAGTAGATCCATGCAAAGTTAAGAAAGTCTGAGGCAACCTCGTGCATTAGACTGCAATCCTACACTCACCTGGGAGTACGTCCAACTGAACTCAATGGGACTTACTCCTTCAGAGTGGACATGCATAGGATTGTGCTGTAAATCACCAGTGGTAGCTCAACACACACCACCTCAAATCTGGCAAAAGGAGACCAGACAGCAGCAGGTCAGTATATGTGGGTCAGTGTGCAAGCTCAGCACACGCTAAAGTGACATGGTTGACTCCATCCAGGTAGCCATAAGAAGTGGTTCTGCTTAATTGCTTGCAGGACCTGAAGCTTTTAGCAGGGGGCGGAGCAATGACACCTGTGATAAAATTATGAGATGAGACCACTATCTTCCTCATCTTCCCAGCTGCCTCTTGCACAATACCCATGGAACTACTTCTCCATAGCAAAAGCAGAGAAGCCTCTTTCAACCAATGACGTAGCAAGGTCAGGTGATACCCAGTGCGAAAAATTTCTTGTCACCCCCCCATTGAAATTATTAAAATAAGGAAAAATAAGATACTTACAGTTGCATGTGTTATTTTCTAGTTTATTGTGAGCATAAGCACTTAAAACCTCCCCCCCCAACTTCGTTCTCTGCAAATTTTGAAATCGCATCATCAAAATCAATTCCTTTTGCTACTTTTTTTCAATTGACAAGATGGCTAAGCCAGAGAGCCGAGCTTGACTCATGGTGGACCTAAGACAACTCTTGATAGAGCATTTTATCCTTACTGCAACAACCTTGTGAGGGAGCGGCCTGAGGGGTCCATCGAAAAGGGAGACGAAGCTAATCAGCACCTGAGCATTTAAGCAGCTCTTTTGTGTCAAGACTTGGAGCACCACGCTTGCAACCCGCCCACCCGCCTGTCAGAGGAGGGGAGCTGTCCTTCGAAGCCTGCCTGTCAGGGAGCTAGCAGAGAAAGTTGGCTGGCTTCAGCTGTGCCTGGGGGCGTCTCCCCACCTTCCTCTACGGAAAGGCAGCGGCGGGGGAGTCTGCCTGCCTCCTCCAACTCAGCCGCCCTACAGCTGGGACGGAGGCAGCGGGCGGACTGTTTGGGGTAGCGTGGAGCCTGAAGAAGAAGAAGAGTTTGGATTTGATATCCCGCTTTATCACTAGCCTAAGGGGTCTCAAAGCGGCTAGCAATCTCCTTTCCCTTCCTCCCCCACAACAAACACTGTAAGGTGAGTGAGGCTGAGAGACTTCAAAGAAGTGTGACTGGCCCAAGGTCATCCAGCAGCTGCATGTGGAGGAGCGGAGACGCGAACCCAGTTCACCAGATTACGAGTCCACCGCTCTTAAGCACTACACCACACTGGCTCTCTAGGAGAGACGCATGGCTTGGGCACGCTGCAGGGCCCGTGGTGAGTGCCGCCTGGCATTTTGTCACCCCCCTCAGTGGTGACACCCGGGGCGGACTGCTCCTACCTCACCCCCTTCCTCCGACCCTGCTTTCAACACACGCAAAATCACACACACATTTAATCCAGGAAGAACCATAGCAGCACTGTACTATATTTCTTTTTCTTACTACCACATATGTCAAATCTAACTGTGAGAGAGTGAGTGTTTGTGTGTGTGTGTGTGTGTGTGTGTGTGTGTGTGTGTTAAAGGTGTACTTTTGAGTCTAGTGCCACCCACTGCTGGAATATACCTCGCCCCCAGACAACTTTCCACCAAGTTAATGTTGTCCTCGAGCAGAAAAAGGTTTTCCACCCCATGAGCTAAAGAGAGATCAGGACTGAGAGAGAGAATTTCAAAGAGAAGCAGCTATGTCCCCGGTGGGGGGTAAGGAGCACCTCAGTTTCTTTTTCGACCCGGCTGCTGGTCTCTCTTTCATATGCTTGATTTATTATAAAGCTTAGTACCAAGTCTCAACTAAGCAATTACACAAATCTCGGAGTGCAAATGGTATTATCTGCAAAGCGTCTAACACATTTTAAACTTGCTCTGCAAATAAGAATGCAATTATGACAACTAGCTGCGATCTCCCTAGAGAACCGTCCTAAAGGGCGGTTGAAATCAGGGCAGCTTGCTCACTTTTTAGTGACACTGATCTTCTTGTCAGATTTTTGCCGTTGTTCACTTTCTTCCATAGGAGTTGCATCTGGAAACCCAGGCTTCTCCTTTGCCTGGGAAGCTGTTTGAAAGCACCCCTGGCTTCTTCTTAAAACCTTTGCTACCGAGTTAGAGCTGCTCAAACTCATATGTATAAGAATAGACATTACTGGGCAAAGCATGGGTCAATAATCACAGCAAAAGCCGCATGGCATGAGGAAGGACCATGGCTCAGTAGCAGAGTGTCTGCTTTGAATTTCTAAATAGGGGTAGAAATGAAACCCCAGGGAGCTTCTACCAGTCAGTTCAGACAATACTGAGCTAGATAGAGCATGGCTCTGCCTAAATATAAGGCAGCTTCCTATGTGCCTTACATATTCATTTTAGCAAAAGGGAAGAGAATTTAGTGTTCAATCTATCCAGATATGTTTGTTTCTGATTTTTCTAGAAAAAGGCTTCAGCTCTAGCTGGTAGAATTATTATTATTTTAAAGTCATTGTTTTAATGTGTGTGTGTGTGTGTGTGCACATTACTATCTTTGACAAGGATACAGTAGTGAAAGTGGATTTTAAATATCAGGACTGATGCAAGTCATGAAAAATAAATCTCATTGTGTTGGTATTGCTTCTTAATCACTCAAGATTTTTTCAGCATTATTCAAGTCCAACCAATCATGCCAAAGCATTTATAAAAGAATAATGCCAGCTAGATCTCCTTGACAAGAGATAATCTAATGAGCAAGAACTGCTGTTCTTTTAACAAATTAGAAGTTTAAATTTTTTGCAAAGTTGCAATATCCTTAATAGAATGAGCATTTCCTCACAATTGCCAACAGTCCTAAGTTAAGAGCCCTGGAATTCATCTATGCCAGGCATGTGGGGATATGCAGCATGAGAAGGCAAAAACCTATTGCATTTGCTCTGCCTCAAACGGTAATGAATGGCTGCATGATTCAAGTGATAAGCCTGATCCATTATAGAATGGAAAATCCTTCTCTGTCCCATTTTAGCCATAGACTCTGTTGAAGAAAGCAACCTCCTGGACAATCAGATAAACCAAGACAACAAATTAAAACCCGCGATTCTATGCTTTCTCGCTGTCTCTCGCTTTGCTTTCAGAAGTGTCAGAAGGTATGCTCTGTTCAAAGCTTGTGGCTTTCCGATAGCTTTGAACAGGCATTTCTATCTCAAATCCTGTAGGCAAGGTATTATCTCATATTTGATTCTCTTCTCACCACAGGATAGGGTAAGCAGCAGCAGACAATTTCATTCTCACTTCCATTCAGTTTTCCCTACTGAAGCCAAAATCAGTTCTACATTAGACCAATTGCATTGCTTCAGATGACAACATCGGTGCCATTGTTCTTCCTAGTGTCATGGTTTCAGATTCATCCCTCATACTGGTCTACCCCACCTATCTCCGTCTGCTACCACCAGACTTTACATTTCAAAGCATTTCCCCACTAGTTATGAGGCAACGAATGACTGTGCGCCTCAAGCAACCACAACACAGTAGTCCTTTCTCTATGTTAACATTTGCAAATAATTCATATCCCAGACACATTGCACGAGAAAGTTTTGAGACCTTCTGATAAAAGCCGTCCAAAATCCTTAAGGATATGTATTGCATGGCCAGGTTGACATTGTTTGTTGCAAATAAACGTAAGAGATGTTTGAAAACTTCCCAAAAAGTTATAAAGAAGACTGGAGTTTTGTGAATGGACCCTCTAAATGAGATAGTGGTTGATGACTCCTCCTTGTTGCTGATTAGATTGCTTTGTCAAGTTTGGACGCTGATAGGTATTGGTGTCCCATTCAAAATAAAAGGATTAAGTTCTGCTTTTAAAAAATTAAATCTTTATTTACTTACTAAATTTTTTATCCAGCCCTTCCTCCAAGGAGTTCAGGATTTCCCTGGCCTGCAACACAGTTCGTCAAGGCACACTTGTTAAATGGGTTGACAACAGGCAACCAATATTAGTGGTGGAACTGGGTTTCATAAATAAAGCAGTAAGATGCCTTGAGGGGCTGGGTTCTCGTAGTATAATGCAATTCATCAGTGTAATGGAGCAACAAAGACAAACAAACCCCACAAAAACCTACAAAGTAACATTAACACCAAAGCCTGAATAGAAAAACCAATCTGCCCCATATGTATATACATTAGTGGCTTACAAAGTAGGCCTAGCATTAGGGGATGCAAATGATCCCATTCTAATGCTCACATTCTCCATCCTTGAACAAGCACAACAAGCTCTTGAATCTGTGCCTTGAATCTTGAATCTGTTAAAGACAGATCTATTTCTTTCTTCTGGAATGGAATTGGAGATTCCATCACCAGCTTTACTTAGCCTTTAATTGACAGTGGAACTTCCAAAAGTTTCCTGTGCCTTCAAATTATATGCACTGGAGGTGTGTGTGTGTGTGTGTGTGTGTGTGGATTTTACTTTTTCTAACCTATCTTGAAGACTTTTCCCAAACAAATTTACGTTAAAGAATACAGTTGTACCTTGGTTTTTGAACAGCTTAGTTCTTGAACATTTTGGCTCCCAAACTCCACAAACTGGGACTGTTCTGGTTTGCAAACTATTTTTGGAAGCTGAACATCCAACAGGGCTTCCGATTGGCTGCAAGAGCTTCCTGCAGCCAATCAGAAGCTGCGCTTTGGTTTCTGAACATTTTGGAAGTTGAATAGACTTCCGGAATGGATTCCATTTGACTTCCAAGGTACGACTGTATGTCATTTAAAGACTATGACATGCAGTTACAGTCTTAATTTGCTACTGTATGGGCTGGAATCATTTGCTCTGTTGGTACATAGTACAAGAACAGTATAAGAACAAACATAGGTCTGATGATATACCGTTTCAAACAGGGTTAAAAGGCCTAATTCAATATAGTCAATCACTTTTTCAGTAAATGCTGCAGTTTCTAAGTGCAAGTCAAAACTGACACCTTAGTATTTAGGTGCTGCCACTGTTTGCTTGGGTCTATATCTCTCCTAGCCTTCGCCAGAAACCTTTGTTCTATTAATAATATGATCTATGATCAGTTACAGTCAGTAAACTACAACGTCACACTTCGATTAACTGCATGCTTTATGAGAAGCTGGGATAGTAGAGCCAAGCCTTGAAAGAGATTATTATGGCCTGTAATAGCTACACGTTCAACTTCCAGGATTATAGTCTTCCTTCAAACAATATTTTTGTAACTTCAATAAGTCAATTTTATCTGGATACAGAAGATCTGGATACAGAAAATAAAAAGTAAGGAAAAAACGTATTTCTGCACTACACAACAATGCATCAAATGTATTATACACTACACAACAGGAAATCATCTTAGAGTTTCAGTACAATGTATAAAATAAAGATTCACAAATCTACAATTTAATAAATTGCTGTGTTGCAGGATGCATTGGAACAAGATGAGGTGCTTTCCTTGGTATGAGGTTGTAATACAAAACTGTGTAAATGAACAGAATGATGAAGTAATTACGTATTTAACTATTCAAATCCAAATCTAATGCCATGCTTACAAAATATGTAACTTGCAAAAAGGCTAAGTTTAATTTTTCACCGCACTTCTATCTACAATGGAAGGGCCACTGAAGGAGCTGAAGTGTGCCATAGCAGATATTAAGTTGTACATTATGTCTGGCACTGCAGTGTTAAAATACCCACATAACCATATACCATCACTGCCAGCCCATGCTGCCCACCCACATTTAGCTCTTTAAAACTCTCTCTGCTCGGAACAGGCCTCATAGATTAATGTGTCTTTCGCCTCCTCGCAATAATTTAGGGGAAAGTTAATTAGAGAAGCGGAATCCAACACTGACCCAGAAGGACCCCATTAAAATGTTTGCTGCAGCTGGATAAAATTGCCATTTGTAGAACCAATTTTGTTTACAATCTGCATCCACCGTCCCAGTTTCTTTTTTCAGAAAGACCTACTTCAGGATAGGGCTATCCTCTGTAACTTCATCAGGCATTTTAAGAACATGGGCATCATAAAGGGGCAGAGCAGAGTAATGCTTATCAGAGTCCAATTAATGAAAAATCTGGAAAAAGAGAGACTAGTCGGCATGCTACGACTCCATTATATGTATAGATGATCATCAGACAGAAAGGTGGGACATCTGGATAGATTTTAACAGCTGGCTCTTGGCACACTAATACATTTCTGGCAGATGAATGAGCGGTGTCCTTCTGAGAGGGAAATGACAAATGTGCGTAGCTTTTATAACTTGTAAACAACAATCTAGAGGTGTGAATAGAAACAGGAATACTCATTTAGGACCTAGCACTTGCTTTTTCTTCTGGTAGCTCAGATGACATTATTTCAACAGAGTGCACTTTAATAAAAACAATTATGTTCTGTTACAGTGAACAAACCTGTTTTCATCTATTCCAAGGGGAGTATTGCGTTTTTTCTGATTACACCCGGCGCTTATGAAGTATTTTCATTTAAAGCAAAATGGTGTTTTCAAAAAACATCCAGACATCGCAGCAGCAATATTAACAGGAACAGATAAAGCGAGGGGAAAATAAATGTGAAGTGTTTTAATCCACCGAAGCCAATGCAGCCCACAGAGAAGGCACAGAAAAAAGAAGAAGCCTTACCTTGAATTCCTTTTCAATGTTAGCCAGTTTAGCAAGCTCATTACTGAGTTCTAGAGCAGTGAGAACCGGGTCTTCGCTGGACAGAGACAGGTAGGCAGGACTTGCCAATCCCTTGTACGCATTTATCCTTGACCTGGAATGGCTGAAGGAATCATGCTTTTGTTTCTCAGTACAATCGTTGCACTTGCAGAAATAATCATGAGGTCTCTCTATCCTCGCCCCTTTCATTAACAGCATGTGCACCACCTCATACTTCTGGCAATGGGCTGCTAAAATGATGGGTGTGATGTCTGGGGAGAATCGGGTGCCATCTTCATCATAAGAATAAAAGTCATCGTCCTGGAGCTCCTGCTCACACGGGCTTAGAGTCAGCCGCTTGCTAGCTGCAAACCCGGGATGATTCAAGATTGCTTCCACAATCCGGACATACCCTTTGCTAATTGCAAGCAGCAGGGCATCTCCGATCCGTGCCAGATTCTCCTTCTTCAACAGAAGTTCTGTCACTTCCAAATGTTCATTCCCCACAGCGAGCTGCAAGGCATTTTGGCCCATGTAGTCGACACAGTTGACATTCAAAGTTTTTGACTCTTCCAGCATTTTGCGTACCACAGGGATGTTCCCATACTCTGCCGCGTCCAGAAAGCGCTCTTCCTCTGCCGTAAGACTTGTGCCCCTCTCGTTGAACATAAAAGCTGGACCTCTGATTGCTTGCCGCCTTCCCTTTTCCCTCATCACAGTCATGCGTCTCAAAGAAGGGCTTCCATCAATGGTCCTAATGAGCAGAAACAATACATTTGGAATATTTTTATAGCTGTCATTGTCTTGGAAAAGCTTCTCTAGGAATCTACACTCTTGGGCTAGAGTGGCCCAAGTTAAATATGCATACAATAGGTGAACACAGGTCAATCACAAAAAAAGAATCCACACTGCACACCTGGATTAATTGATAATGACCTCTCCCCACTTCAAACGGGGGGCGCTTTTGTGTGGCCGCGCACAGCCCCATGATCCCACACGATTCCCGGCAATTTGGCCTGGCTTCACCTCCCCAAGCTGGATACCTGGAGGTTCCCGCCCAACCTCAGACAGTAAACCAATCCCAGCTGGGGAGGTGTTGCCAGGGGAGTTGACCAGGTAGGGTTGGGACCACCCTGCACACACAATAGAACAGGCTTCCTCAACCTCGGCCCTCCAGATGTTTAGAGACTACAATCCCCATCATCCCTGACCACTGGTCCTGCTAGCTAGGGATCATGGGAGTTGTAAGGCAAAACCATCTGGGGGGCCAAGGTTAAGGAAGCCTGCAATAGAGGGCGGAACTTACCTGGGAGTTGGTCTCCCTACATCTGAAAGTTTAATAAAGTTGTGGCCAATTTTAATCCCATAACACGTTGTCATGAGTCATTATTCCACCCAGGGGTCGCCTGGGGTCAGGGAGGTCTCTGCCTGGCCACGCAATAAGAATTTACCAACCACCTACAGAGCAACACCATTACAGCTCACTTAGAACAGCAGGCAGTCATAGCAATATCCCTTGCAGTCTTGAAGAGGCATAGCTTCTTACAGACCACCTTCTGCGTTTTCCATTTTCACAGACCCAAGCACAAGTTTCTGGACCACTGACCACTATCATCCCTGACTGGTAGTCATGTTGGCTGAAGCCGATGGAGGTGGAGTCCAACTGCATATGAAAGGCTACAACTCTCTCATACTTACAAGGCCATGCAGAAAACTTTGAAACCACAGGCTTTCATTTCCTTCTTCCCTTGCACCCTAGTACCCACCTCACTCGGGATGGAGAAGAATAATAAATTCAGCAAATGAAACTCAGTTTTTATAGGGTGAGAACATTCTTCTAAATGTACAGTGTTTTGTCAGCGGAGATAAATAGCCCAATAAATATATTGTGACAATGTCATATATTTGATGTGCCCGATATGTCTTCCCAAAAGAAATTACTATTAGAAAGTAGCTTGTATTTCATTGACAAGACTCTTGCCTGGCATTTGAAAAAGCATTTTTCTTTTCTGTGGTCCTGCATATCCAGATAGCTAGCTAAAGGGAACATATATAATCAAATAAAAGAAGGGACCAAGATGCACTGTAATTCCTGCACAATCACATTGGCTATTGAAGTTTGAGAATTTAATGCTGATGTGTTTTTTTAATCTACTTACTGTGTAATGGCGGTTGCTTGTGATAAATTTTCTGGCAGGAGATTGCATGGGGGTGGAATTTACTGTGATAAATGTTAGTTATTATTGAAGTATGTTTTAAATATATGGTTACTAGGAAAGTAGTCCTGAGACCTTCAGGAATAATGCCATGTTTAAATAAAATAGCAATTATAATAATAATCAATGTTAATGAAAATATTGTTGCTGTAACAGTTCAAGAATTAGACACCAAAACTCACTATGCCACAGTTAAGCACTTTTCAATCCAATCAATTTCAAAGGGAGAACACTTAACAGTCCTCCTGAAATCAATGAAACAAAAAGTTATTAATTGTAGCAGACAGTAGGTTAATTATTCTATCCTGTTTGTCCTTATCAACTGAGAGCATGGAAAACTAGCACCTAACAGCATGTGCAACAAAAGCCATACTCAAACTGCCATACATTTGTTAACTCAAACCCAACAGGTAAGGTAGAAAGCAGAGGTGCAACCACAGCCAGCATGGCCAATGGTCAGGGATGATGGGACTTGTAGTCCAAAGTCTCTGGAGGACACCAGGTTGAGGAGAATGGTAGAGTGCAAACACTGAGTAGCAGGCAAACTCAGTTATTTTGCTCTGAAAATGACAGCTAGCATGTTTTACGATAATGGTATTTCAATCAATCTAAATTTTAAACATAGTGGAAATCACAAAAGATGCAAGAGTGTTTGTTTCACATGAAAATGTGATGAAAAATTATCCTAGCATGTTTCGAATATCATTATGTCCTCTTTTTCCACCCACCTCTAATTGGACCCAGTTCTAAACTAACTGCAGTAATTTAAAAAAAAGTTAAAAAGCAAATTTCCTCCTAATGATTTCCTGTCAGACGTTAATATCTATTATTAAAAACATTTACTAGAAGGGCAATTATTAAAAAATAACTTGTAGAAATGCAGGATTTTCTGGAAGTCTTCTAGAGAAGTGGTTCATGTCAGCATGAAAGGATAGAGTCCTGGCATGTTAGTGTGAGACCATGATGGGAATTTTTTCATCACTGGGTAGGTTCATATTCTTTTTCAATACAGTGGTATCTCTGGTTACGAACTTAATTCGTTCCAGAGGTCCATTCTTAACCTGAAACCGTTCTTAACCTGAGACCGTTCTTAAACTGAGGTACCACTTTAGCTAATGGGGCCTCCCGCTGCCACCGTGCCACCAGCGCGCGGTTTCTGTTCTCATCCTGAGGTAAAGTTCTTAACCCGAGGTACTATTTCCAGCTTAGCGGAGTCTGTAACCCGAGGTGTTTGTAACCCAAGGTACCACTGTATTCCCATTCATGTGTTTCACAAAGAGACACACAATTTATACAGTGGAACCTCGGGTTGCGGACGTAATCCATGATGGAGGCACATCCGCAACCCACAGCGTTCACATCCTGAAGCGCTGCGTCTGCGCAGACGCCGGTGTGATTTGGCGCTTCTGTGCATGTGGCAAAACTCGGAAGTAACCCGTTCCAGTACTTCCGGGTTTCCTGCGGTCTGCAACCCAAAAACATGTAACCTGAAGCGGCCGTAACATGATGTATGACTGTACTTCCCATTTATCTCATCCCAGTCTTTCTTCCCCTCCCCACCCCCAACGAATACTGAACTGCTGGAAAAGTTGGAGGGAAATTTTAGAATATGTTTATAATTTGAAACATTTTGTAAAGAACATCCACTGTGACGCATTGCAGCAAACAGACAAAGTATACAATACTAGCAGCGCCGGCCCTGCCATTAGACAGGGGGCAAATGCCACCTAAGGCAGCAGATGCTGGGAAGTGGGGAGTAGCAGCAAGTTGTTGGGATGAGAGAGCAGTGTAGGCCAAGAAGCCTGTCCTGAGCCCTCTAAAACAGCCTTAAGGGGATGCTGTTCCCTCATCAGTGCTGAAACAAGGTTTGAATGGCCTGCCTTGCAAACTTCTGCAGATGGGACTGGGGAGATGTGGCGCCATCTCATCCTTCACTCAAGGCAAAAGCATGACTCAGGTTGGCCCTGAAGACTCGTATGAATAAGCAGCAATATTGTCTGAATTAAAAAATGCACACCATTAGCAGCCTTTTTTTTTTTTTTACCTAAATATTCTGTTTTAAATTTAAAGGCTATAGGGTGCTGTTTAAAAACAACCCTCTCTCTCTCTCTCTCTCAAACTTTAATTAATGGAATTTGAAAGCATTTGCTACTTACAAAGCTAAACCCAGAAAAAACATTACCAGAATATATAGCTAAAAATGGCAGCTGTAGTTCTTGAATGTGCAAACTGAAAGGCTCTTAAGCTCTCTTCTGCCACCATCCAATTTCAGAATTGTGTCTTGAATTAATAACCTTTGGCAAATGCATGCAACAGATGCTGAATTTGTTTGACAGTCCAAAGAGGGACCTAGCAAATCAGGAGTTAATTATTCACCTTTTATTTGCAGCTAGTGCGACAATAGCAAAGCTCTGGAATGGTTTTAAGTGCACTGATGTAGACGATTGGTATTGTTAAGATTTGGCATATAGCCCTGTTAGAAAAGCTTTCGCATAAATGGCAAGTTATTAGGGGGCAAATAGAGAGAGATCAATTTGCAACCATATGGTTCCTTTTTATTGAATACACTTACATACAGGAGCACAGCAGAGCTGTTCCAGCACTACATAAGTCAGTAGGGCTATTATGGGGAGCTTTAGGTAATGGAAACAGACTTTGTCTTGGGTCCACTGGGGTCTCCAATTTCTGTTCAACGAAACAAAAGGAATGTACTTTCTTTCTCTTTGATTACCTGTGCACATTGCTAAGATCTTGATAATACTATATCCACTTAAATTGAGGGTGATTTTTGATGTTTTATCCCCAACCTGGTCTTCCTTTTACTCTGTGAGGTGGGTGAATAGTGTTGCTTGTTTGGGGTTGTACTGAGGGGGACAGGAGTTCCTTCCTCTGTCTATTCACATTTTAGAAGAAAGAAAAAAATACAATAAAGAACTATATTATTAAAAAGTTGATGCATACAACTGAGGTGGAAACCGAAGTGTAGAACCATTTGCCACATTTGCTGGCACCTGGCCCTTTAATTAGGCCCAGATACAAGCAGGTATGCACTAACCAGGCAATGAGGAGACCACATCTGGACATTGCCTGGAGACTCCACCTGTAATTGATGGCAGTGAAGGAGCTCATCTTCTGTGCCTTAGGCAGAAAGGAGGGGAGGCAGGAATGATATAAAAAGACAGAAGAAGGCGGAAAAGCCCAATAGAGACATAGGGAGCAGGTTGGTCAAGCTGGAAGCCTAAATAAGGTGCCTCCACAGAGACGGGGGCGGGGGGAGTTCTTGCTTCCCTGTTGGAAGGTCTTCTTCAGGCTGTTCCACTAAGCTCTACTGGGCATGACCTAAGAAAAGAGTATGCTTTCTCTTGGCAAGGCATAACAGCCTGGATTTAACCCTGCTAAGGGCACTGAGGCACAAGACCCTTGTTTTCCTTGGGGAAGAAACTTTCCTGGAACTTGGAAGCATCTCTAGAAGGAACTGACTGTCCCTGTTGTTTGGGACAAATCATAACCTGAATGAAGTCTGATATAGAGCTGACCTGATGAGACTTGGTGCCATTCTTTTGACATTTTTGGAACATGCCCCTTGCTTTTGACTGCTCCTTCCTCAGGGGTAGGGCACCCAAGTGAATACAGGAAAGAGCCCCTGTTCCATTAAGGGCATTTACTGTTCTCTAAACTTGCTCTGGTGTCATATTCACGCCCTAGTGATATAGACAAATGTACAGTGAAATCCTGTACATATCTGTTCAGATGTAAGTGCGGAGGAATTTAATTGGGTTTACTCTCAGGTAAGTGGGCAGAGTGTGGAAGCTGTAATTCTGGAAATGAGTTGATGTAACTGTCATAATAAATCCACTTAGGGGAAAACTATGTTCCTAGTGCAGGTGAAAGTGGCAGGGAAACCTTTTAAATAAATTAATAATATCTACATAATGTTGGCAATGGAACCCTTACTGGGATTTGTGCCAGCTGAAAGCCTTCCTGCACTGAGAGAAGTTTTCAGGAAACTTTCTGCAGCAATACTAGGGAAATACTCCCAGAATAGCAATGCTCACTTACAGCCTCAGAATTTTTTTCTTTTAGGTATTTGCATGGATCAGAACACATCAGTACACATCAGAATCAGGAGGGCTTTTATTGCAAGTTAATTAGTACTGGATTTTGTATTACCTTTAGCCACACTTGCTTCATTAGCACATGCTTCACACTGCGGAGCATATGAGCTTCAAATTAAAATTCAATTCAAGAGGAAAGTACCTACTTTCTAACAAAAACGGGGCTGCTGGCTTCTGTGTACCCCAGTGCACAGTGGTTGTGAAATACCGTATGACGAAGTCTGCTTGTACAGTGGTACCTCAGGTTACATACACTTCAGGTTACATATGCTTCAGGTTACAGACTCTGCTAACCCAGAAATAGTACCTCAGGTTAAGAACTTTGCTTCAGGATGAGAACAGAAATCGTGCTCTGGCGGCGTGGCAGCAGCAGGAGGCCCCATTAGCTAAAGTGGTGCTTCAGGTTAAGAACAGTTTCAGGTTAAGAACGGACCTCCGGAATGAATTAAGTACTTAACCCGAGGTACCACTGTATATAGCTACACTTGGGAAGAGTCAAGCAACTTTCATCTACAATAATTTATAGAGGGGCAGAATAAGAGCAAGGAACACTCTAAACCAGGAATGTGCACACGCCCACAAGTCCCTTGGTCTCTGGTGTCCTGTTGCTTCAGCACGTCCTGTTAGGTTGATTAATTGAGCTCTAGGAACAGCATAGAGCAGAATTACATCTGCTGCTATGGCAGCTGGGTGGGACAGACTGCAGAAAATGCATTCCAGTCAGCAACCTGCAACATGCAGAGGCCGAAGTTGGAATGAAAATGATGCTAGTGTTATTCATTCCATAGGGCTCTTAATGGCAGTCCTCCTCTACTCAAACCATCTTAGAGAGTCGCATTATTGTCCATCTAGATAATTACAATTACTATTAAATCATCTATACAGCATCTTAAAAAGCAGAATCACCTTGCCAACAAAGGTCCGTATAGTTAAAACTATAGTGTTTCCAGTAGTGATGTATGGAAGTGAGAGCTGGACCATAAAGAAGGCTGATCGCCGAAGAATCGATGCTTTTGAATTATGGTGCTGGAGGAGACTCTTGAGAGTCCCATGGACTGCAAGAAGATCAAACCTATCCATTCTTAAGGAAATCAGTCCTGAGTGCTCACTGGAAGGACAGATCCTGAAGCTGAAGCTCCAATACTTTGGCCACCTCATGAGAAGAGAAGACTCCCTGGAAAAGACCCTGGTGTTGGGAAAGATTGAGGGCACAAGGAGAAGGGGACGACAGAGGACAAGATGGTTGGACAGTGTTCTTGAAGCTACCAGCATGAGTTTGACCAAACTGCGGGAGGCAGTGGAAGACAGGAGTGCCTGGCGTGCTCTGGTCCATGGGGTCACGAAGAATCGGACATGACTAAACAACAACAATTATATCATCAGTCCACAGCCTCAGTAAAAAAAAAAAAAATACCCTCAGGATGACACTGTAACATGTTCTGTAACCACCCTGATTCCTGGTATAGGGCAGTATATAAATTTAATAACATAATAACATCAAAACATAAAACATAACATAATCAGGGGTGGAAAACCTTTGGTCCTATGCATGCTATTGGACTCCAACTCCCATCAACACAGCAAATAATGAAGGATGATGGGAAATAATGAAAGATGATGGGAGCTGGAATCCAGCATCACTTGGAGGGCCACAGGTTCTTCATATCAGACATGTATCATGCTCTAGGATGTTCAAAGCACTACACACACACACATTATCTCTGTAAGCTTTGCAGCAACTTTTCTAAAACTTGCCAGAATTGCTACCCTCAGTGTTATCATCAAAACATTACAGATGGAGGACTAAAGTTGAGACAAGAGTGGCTTGGTGTGGTTTTAGACAAGTCTCACAGCCGAGTGATAATGTAATCTGGACCATTCAAGTGACAGCCATCATTTTGGGCACTATGCTGCCCCAGATTGCCAAAGGTAAATGCTTAACTCTTAAACTGGGTTTTGCATGTTCCCTTCCTACTGCTTTAGGACAAAAGAAATAGGTTGCAACTTGCAAGTCTTAGTATCTCTAAGAGAGGAAGCAATGTACAGCACAATGACCTAGCACCAACATCGCCCTGCAGGCACGCAGATCTCAGGAGAGAGCAACTGAACTAGTTGGCCTGATTCTATTTGGATCTGGTGGCTGGGAGCCTGAGCGCAGTGCAGATCCCACAAGGCTGTATAGGCATGAAGCCAGGGCATGGCAAGGAGATTCACAACTGCACTGAACAATTGCAGTGTGTCAAAGGGTCTCTTCTGCCAAGCATTGTCACAGTTGCTGTTCCCAGAGACAGACAAACTATGTTAGAAGATACCTGACCCACCTACTGAGCACTTGGGCAAAAAAAATGAGAGGCACAAATACAAGATGGGTGACACCTGGCTTGAGAGCAGTACATGTGAAAAGGATCTAGGAGTCTTGGTTGACCACAAACTTGACATGAGCCAACAGTGTGACACGGCAGCTAAAAAGCCAATGCAATTCTGGGCTGCATCAATAGGAGTATAGTATCTAGATCAAGGGAAGTAATAGTGCCACTGTATTCTGCTCTGGTCAGACCTCACCTGGAGTACTGTGTCCAGTTCTGGGCACCACAGTTCAAGAAGGACACTGACAAACTGGAACGTGTCCAGAGGAGGGCAACCAAAATGGTCAAAGGCCTGGAAACGATGCCTTATGAGGAACGGCTAAGGGAGCTGGGCATGTTTAGCCTGGAGAAGAGGAGGTTAAGGGGTGATATGATAGCCATGTTCAAATATATAAAAGGATGTCACATAGAGGAGGGAGAAAGGTTGTTTTCTGCTGCTCCAGAGAAGCGGACGCGGAGCAATGGATCCAAACTACAAGAAAGAAGATTCCACCTAAACATTAGGAAGAACTTCCTGACAGTAAGAGCTGTTCGACAGTGGAATTTGCTGCCAAGGAGTGTGGTGGAGTCTCCTTCTTTGGAGGTCTTTAAGCAGAGGCTTGACAACCATATGTCAGGAGTGCTCTGATGGTGTTTCCTGCTTGGCAGGGGGTTGGACTCGATGGCCCTTGTGGTCTCTTCCAACTCTATGATTCTATGATTCTATGATTCTATGATTCTATGAATGGGGAATTGCAAAAATTAAACAGGCAGCCTCTTACACATTAAACTATATGTCCTACCACAGAGTGCTGGGCCTTCCTCTTCACTATCTTCCTACTTATTTCTAACCCAGTTTCTTTCCTCCCCTCCCCCATATGTAATGTGGAAGCCACTCTCATTCATTCATACAAACATACACACCGATACACATTCAGAAGGAAGGGCGGGATACAAATTCAATGAATAAAAATAATTCCTATGCACACACTTTCCTGCTAACTCCACAGAACTTGTAGCATCCCATGATGCTCATGCTGAGCCAGTCTGAACTCTAGGTTCTGTAGCGGTGCCACTGTCCAAGGTATTTGTGGCTTCAGTTGTTGTTGTTGTTGTTACAGAGAACCAGCCATAACCATATGGAGAGGATATGCAGGGCTGCATGATCACTGCAGATCGTGACAGCAGTCACGAAATTAAGAGACGCCTGCTTCTTGGGAGAAAAGCAATGACAAACCTAGACAGCATCTTAAAAAGCAGAGACATCACCTTGCCAACAAAGGTCTGTATAGTTAAAGCTATAGTGTTCCCAGTAGTGATGTATGGAAGTGAGAGCTGGACCATAAAGAAGGCTGATGGCCAAAGAATGGATGCTTTTGAATTATGGTGCTGGAGGAGACTCTTGAGAGTCCCATGGACTGCAAGAAGATCAAACCTATCAATTCTGAAGGAACTCAGCCCTGAATGCTCACTGGAAGGACAGATCCTGAAGCTGAGGCTCCAATACTTTGGCCACCTCGTGGGAAGAGAAGACTCCCTGGAAAAGACGCTGATGTTGGGAAAGATTGAGGGCACAAGGAGAAGGGGACGACAGAGGACAAGATGGTTGGACAGTGTTCTCGAAGCTACTAACATGAGTTTGACCAAACTGCGGGAGGCAGTGGAAGACAGGAGTGCCTGGCGTGCTCTGGTCCATGGGGTCAGGAAGAGTCAGAAATGACTAAACGACAACAAAATATGCTTAAGATTGGGCTCCATATTTCTTGTGGATTCCACTGCACGGTAATTATGACGGAGCGTGGGGTGGAATCAGAACTGCTTGTATGAATCAATTTTAAGTTATAATTGGGGAGATTCAAACAGTTTTCTTCCTTGACTTAAGGAGGTGCACAGTGAAGTCCACCCCCCAAAAAAACCCCACCTAATTTTATATTCTGGGTTTGCCGCCAGCCTCAGTTTAATTAATTGCCTCTTTAGAAACACTGTATTTTATAACTCAAAACAAAGATCTCATAACAGAAGCTTTTCATAAAGTGTACATTGAAACAGAGTTATCCCTGAAGACTAAAATACTGAAAAGTGAAACCAGGCTATGTCCCACCATAAACAGAAAAGATAATTCTCTGAGGCAAAAATTTATTCTAAGTCAAGGCATTTTATTGCTTTTTAAAAAACCATTGGGAAGAAATGTATTACTGCTCCACAAACAGGAAAAGAAAATGAATTGCTGGCATACATTTAATCATAATCTTTATCTCCCCTGGGTATGAAATGGCAGGGCACAGGAAGTGGTTGGAGTGGGTGTTTGAGAGAATAAGCCATTATGGGAAAGGAACAAGAGCAAACAACAGTTGGAATTAGGGAGGGGGATATAAATGGGAATGTGGTTAGTAGGAAACCTTGCACTGCTCCTTTTATGCTGATAGATGAGGAGTTAGAAATGAATATGCTTCTTTCTTTACTTCCACTTCCCCTCTTTTGCCATCTCATGTCTTATTTCACTTAAGGTATCTCCATACATTAATTGATGGAGAACTGGAAATGCTATGGTAGGCCGTCCATACTTTCTCCCTGTAATGCTACAGGGATAGTCTGGAAAATCTATCATAACATAACACACTTACATCTGCAATAAAATAAAATAGTACAAGGGCAAAAAAACAACAACCCAAAACCCCAACACCAAGTACATTTCATGGCTTACTGTTGTGTGCATTCTAATAGTGCTAGCAGACAGTAGTGTTGCTCTAAACAGTGTTAGAAATTCATTTTCTGTGACTGGCATGTGTCCAATTGCCACCACATGGAGATTTCTGGATGCCAGATTGGCAGCTGACATCTCCATCTGCCTGGCCCCGCCAGCTTTCTTGAGCAGGTGCATGGAAGAGCTTATTTATTGCATTTATATCCCACCTTTTCATAAAGTGTACATTGTTCACCCCTGTCCTCAGTTAATCCCTACAACAACCCTGTGAGATTAGGAGGCTGTGGCTGGCCCAAGGTTACCAGTGAGCTTCATGACAGAGTGGGGTTCAAACCACAATCCTAAGGCTAAGAGTCTCATGCTCTACCAACTGAGCTATACCAGATCATGGACCATTGGTCTGACTTCCCAAGATCTATGATACCACAAACATAGTGCTTCACAGGAGCACTGCTGGAATGTTCTGGCAAAGGACTCCCCCTAAACAAGACATAGAGAGGCCTTTATATTGTGAGTCCCTTGGGGATACTTTGTACAAGATAGGCCAGAAGTCTAAATACAAAAATATTGAAAGCCATCCTTCCCTGTTTGTACATTTAGTAAAGACCATAAAGAGACTACCAAATAAAAATAAGCTCCAGACGACAGCAAAAACTTCCAAATTAGAATCTTCTTTTAAGTGTCCTCCATCTCTTTTCTTTTCCCAATGTGACATTCTTCACTTTGACAAATTTGTTTGGCCATGTGAAAATACAAAAAAAAGTTTGGAGGAAAGGTAATTTATTTTTTTACTGGCAGCAGAACAGAACGGCTGCAAGACCTGAACTGACACAGGAAGTGGAGCTTCTCAGCAGCTATTCTAGTGGTCTGAGAAAAACACCCCTGACTCATCTGGGTCTATTAAACAAATGCTTTCAATGTCAATTAAATGTATTCAACAGGATATTAAAGCATGCTAGACTGAGCCGCTGTCTCACATTTTCATAAACTCTTCTCGTTTGGACATTTAAAATGTTCCTTTTTATTAGGATTTTATATCTATTTAATGCAAATATTAATAAAAGCTTTCTTGAGAATGCATGAAATCAGAGAGAGAAAGGAATGTTTTAGGTTTTGTAAAGAGGTCAGTGATTGCTAAGCTTCTGTACCCAACAGAAACTGCCCAGAATGTTCCCAATTCTATGACCGACTTCTGGGGGGGAAATGTTGTTGTGTTGTTTTTTTAAAGGCACGAAAGTAGCCCAGTAGCAACTTTGTAGGGAGTGCTATGGCTTTGTGAGACTATGAAGGACAGACACCAGGGGGTGCTGAAGAATATTTCTTCCAATAGGAACATAGGAACCGGCTTGTTGTTCCATGTAGCTTAGTATTGGCTGCACTGACTTGCACCAGCTTTTCAGGGATTCAAGGAGGAGTTTCTCCCAGCCCTATTTGGAGATACTGGGGAATGTGACACATACTTTCTGCATGCCAAGCAGCTGTTCTACCACTGAGCTATGTGCTTCCCCCATGTTCCATGGGGGTTGGTGGGCTGTGGGGTTTAAGAATTTATGCATGGCCTTTTCTAAATTCTGCCTTTTGTCTTCTGCTCAGGATAGCAAGACAAACTGAAAAAGGAAAAAGGCTAACATAAACTTATGCTGCACGCTTATTTAGGAAGTCAACAGATTTACTTCTGGGTAGACATGAATAGGACTTCCATTATAACAATTTCCAGCAGGGTTATCAACAACTGTTTTGTCAATTTCCTCTGTTGCAGCAAGATAGCAAAGAGTCTTGTGGCACCTAAAAACTAACAAAGTTGCCAGGGTATAGCCTTTTGTGAATTACAGTTAGCTTCATCAGATATATGCAATGTTATCCTGATATATATATATGGGTCAGAGGGACAGAAAACAATTAGGTCTGTGAGGTCAGAAGGAAATGACTTGAAGAAAATACAGGCTTTAATACAGTGGTACCTCGGGTTACATACGCTTCGGGTTACATACGCTTCAGGTTACAGACTCCGCTAACCCAGATATAGAACCTCGGGTTTGCTTCAGAATGAGAACAGAAATAATGCTCCGGCAGTGTGGTGGCGGCAGGAGGCATCATTAGCTAAAGTGGTGCTTCAGGTTAAGAACAGTTTCAGGTTAAGAACGGACCTCCAGAACGAATTAAGTTCTTAACCCGAGGTACCACTGTAATTATACTATCAGCCTATGTTAAGTTTATCTCCCTATGTACCGTCTGCATTTCACTCTTCCTCTGAACACACTGTTGACAATCCTGCCTCTTCCATATATATCTAGAAATCAGGATAACACTTCATACATCAAGCTTAACATGAGTCAACAGTGAAGTAAAGCAGCAAAAAAAGCTAACGTTATTCTAGGCTGCATCAACAGAAGTATAGTGTCCAGATCAAGGGAAGTAATAGTCCAGCTCTATTCTGCCTTGGTCAGACCATACCTGGAATGCTGTGTCCAGTTCTGGGTGCCACAATATAAGGATACTAACAAGCTGGAACGTGTGCAGAGGAGGGTGACCAAAATCAGGGTCTGGAAATCAAGCCTCATGAGGAATGGTTGATGGAGTTGGGTATGTTTAGCTTGGATAAAAGGAAACTGAAGAGATATGACAGCCATATTCAAATATCTAAAGGGATATCACATGGAAGATGGAGCAAGCTTGTTTTCTCCTGCTCCAGAGAGTAAGACACAAACTAATGGATTCAAGTTACAAGAAGGGAGATTCCAACTAAACATCAAGTAGAACCTTCTGACAGTAAGAGCTGGTCTCTCCTTCTTTGGCGGTTTTTAAGCAAAAGTTGGATGGTTACTTGTCATGGATGCTTTAGCTAAGATTCCTCCATTTCAGTGGGTTGGACTAGATGATCCTCTGGGTCTTCCAACTCTACAGTTCTATGATAAAGTGGACTGTAGTCAACTAAAGCTTATGCCACAATGAATTAGTTAGTTGTTGGTTGTTAAAACGCCACAAGACTCTTGGTTGTCTGTGAGTTGGACTGTCAAGACTTCTACATAGTACATTCAAATAAGAAAACATGCATCTATCAGTGGCTAGTTCCTGAAGACCACCTGCCCAGAATCCACTTTCTCTGGCTTGAAATAAAATGCAAGGTCTGTGGGAAGCAGCCGTGGTTGCACGGTAGTGAGGGGAAAGGCACTGTGTCCTTTTTCAATTATTGAGGAACTCTCAATTGTTATTTCACATCTTCCAGGCTTCAGTGAGCCCTGGCTCAAATTAAGCTTGGCACCTGTGCTTACTGCATGCCAACCATCTCTGACCTCAATATTTTTCCAGCTCCACATTAGCTCTGGTGAAACAGAAATCCATTTTTCATTCCACCAAGAGACATTTTCTAACCTCGCATGTCAACTCTCAAGCACTAACAGAAATGATCCCATTTACAATTATTCCAGCATCTTTTCTGCCTGAGCCATTTTCTCAGCTGTATGCTTCACTTTCCAGTCCCTGACATCTATATTCCGTGGGTGTGCACCCAGACCTGCAATTTTTCACTATGCAACATTAAGAGACAGGAAATCACACAAGAAGGTGACTGGTCTGTACTAACCACTGCACTCCGTAAATCTTGGCTCCTGTTTAGAGCTCCATTTCTCAGTTGTCCTACTCGTCGTTCGTCACAGAGTTCGTCGTTCGTTCCTTTGGCCAGTCCAGCAATATTTGGAGATACAACATTTGTACATTGTGTGAGTTCTCAAGCAGGGCATAAGAAACGGAGGCCGGCGCAAGCCATTTTGCTGCCTGGGACAAAGGCCCTTGTCCATTACAGTGGTACTTTGGGTTACATACGCTTCAGGTTACATATGCTTCAGGTTACAGACTCTGCTAACCCAGAAATAGTGCTTCAGGTTAAGAACTTTGCTTCAGGATGAGAACAGAAATTGTGCTCCGGCGGTGCGGCAGCAGCAGGAGGCCCCATTAGCTAAAGTGGTGCTTCAGGTTAAGAACAGTTTCAGGTTAAGTACGGACCTCTGGAATGAATTAAGTACTTAACCCAAGGTACCACTGTATTTAAAAATATTTATATGTTGTTTTCCAGGCAAAGTGTGCCTAAAGCAGCTTAAAACAATAACAACTATAAGTATAAATATCAATATTGTTAAAATAAAAGCTAAGCTAGGATAAATCATTCCTTGTTCAGAAGCCAACTGGACTGGCAATTGCATCTTATATCAACACAGGCAATGGGAAAGCATCTTCCACCACACCTAAGGGCAGCAGGCTAGTTTGGCAGGTGCAGACCAAATTGCACAGCACACACACAGCTTCATCCGCCCCACAGCCCTAAGCATCTGCCACCTGAGGCAGCCGTCTCACTCTGCCTAATGGTATGGCCGGTCCTGTTAGATACCCTCAGTACATACAGAGAGTGTGCTCCCCCCATGTGAATGCCTGGGGAATCCAGAATGAATAGCAAAATCCATGAGCAGGGGGCAATGACCATGGTGCTAAATTAGCCGCCATAGTTACAACTACCCTTACAAACCAAGAAGAGGAGGAGGAGGAGTTTGGATTTGATATCCCACTTTATCACTACCCGAAGGAGTCTCAAAGCAGCTAACAATCTCCTTTCCCTTCCTCCCCCACAACAAACACTCTGTGAGGTGAGTGGGGCTGAGAGACTTCAGAGAAGTGTGACTAGCCCAAGGTCACCCAGCAGCTGCATGTGGAGGAGCAGAGACACGAACCCGGTTCACCAGATTATGAGTCTACCACTCTTAACACTACACCACACTGGCTCTCCAACCAAGTCCCCACTTCATTTCATTATTATTATTTTTTACAACTTTATAACCCACCCTTTTAGAAAGTTCTTTAACTGGTTGGGGACAGCTTATCTGAAAGTGCCCCACATCTTGAGACTCTTCCTTACTCTTGGCAATTGTCCCTCCCTTTCTCCTTCATAAAGGTCACCTCCCAGTGCTGTACGGTGAATTTGAACCCATGCAAGGAGCAGCTTTTGCTCATTTCACCTTCTAAATTCTTTCAGAAGAAACTAAGCACAGAGACTTCATGGTCTCTCTCAAGGTTCTCCTTCCACACACATGTTCCACCTCCCCCCTTAGCAAATTGCAGCAAATTGGGGGGTAGGAATAAGATGAGTTAACGTAAAGAATGGTCCTACTAGATCAGGCCAGTGACTCATCTAGTACAGCTTCCTATTCTCATAGTGACCAACCAGATGTTCATGGGAGGCCTGCAAGCAGGACCTGAGAACAACTCCAATCTCTCCTCCTGCGGTTTCCAGCTACTACTATTCAGAAGCATCCTATCTCTGAACAAGGAGGCAGCTGTACAGTATAGCCACCATGGCTAGTTGTGAAGGACAGAATTATCCTCCATGAAATTCTCTTTCAAAGCCATCCATGTTGGTGGCCGCCGCTGCCTCTCGTAGGAGCGAATTCTTGAGCAAGTTAGTTTTTGCTTTGGTAATACCTTTAAAATGGAGTCAGCAATTCTGTAAAGAAAAAAGTGCATATTGACAGAAAATGCAGAAAGATTCATTTTCGGGGACAAAATGGACTGGAACCAGAGTGCTGCAGGTACAGACACACTCAATCCAACTCCTAATGCAAACTGCAAGAGCAATCAGTGGAGTGGATCAGGACTACACTCCAGAATGCAGAGAACACAGAATCCCAACAAACAGTAGTAGCAACTAACAACTACGGCAGGCAGGAACCCCTGCACCCACCCACACCTGATGTCTATCCTTTCTTGCTGAATAAAATAGTTCACTTTCCAACTCAGACAGGTATTTATTGAGGCATCGCTTTTTGCAGCATCTATGCAAATAATTGGTGCCGAAATGCCAGCCCATATCCTCACCCCCATTTAATGTGGATTTACCCTTTCTAGGGAAATTCAATTATTATTACTACTATTATTTTTAAAAAACACCTGTTGTCAAATTCAATGACTCCATTGCCATAACCCATTTACAACATGGAGCCCCCATGTGAAAACACCCTGCCCAGTCTTATGAGGAGACAACTCTTGGCAGCCTTATTTTCTCTCTCCGCTGCTAGCCTTTTAAGCTTTTCGACCTGGAGCCCAACCAAGTGGGATCCCCTTTAACCAGATCCTCCCTCGACGACAGTCAACAGTTCCTGGTCCTGTTGCTTTGCCACCGTCTCCTCGGGAGTAGGAGGATGAGCCCCTCTCTCTCATAAACCCAGGAAAGCTGATCCGGATCGCTTTGTCGCCCAGGAGCCAGAGGAAGAGAAATCCCCATACAGTACTTTGATCCCCAAGCCTCCGACGGAGACCAACCGCGGATCCCTTCCCGTCCAAAACTGGGGGCGCTCCCCGCCCCCCGAATCCCTCGTTGACCTAACCCTCGGGGAGGACGGCTAGGGGTGGGGGGCATCGGACTTACATGCTGCCCAGCATCGGCGAGGGCGGGTAGCAGCCGTAGGTTTCCCGGTGGGTTTTCACCGCCTGCTGCTGCTGATGGAGGGGCTCCAGCCCCCCATTGACTCCCCTCCAGCCCCGGCTGGAGCGCTGCTGCTCCGCTTCGGGCGCCCCCTCATCCTCCCCGTCGTCGCCTCCTTGCTGCTGCTGGAGGGGGAAGGTCACTCGGCTGCCCTGCTCCTTGGTCCTCTTGCCCTTGCTGGACATGCTGGCGTGGACCCGCGGCCGCCGCGATGCTGCTCTGCAGGCGCCGCCGCCCGCCCGCCCTTTCGGGAGCTACTTACTGGCTGGTGCCGGGCAAAGGAAGAGGGCGGGCGGCAGGCAAGCGCTGGCCAGCCAGGGAACACCCGCGCAGCTCGAAGGGGCGGCGGAGCTCTTCGCCAATCAAGGCGAGAGGCTCCCTCCCGCCTTCCCTCGCCAGGCGGCTGCCCTGAATGCTGCTGCTGCTGCTAGTCGAAGAGGCAAGCATCTGAGCGTGGACCGAGGGAAGGGAAGGCACTCCAAGCGGCGGAAGCCGGCCGGCCGCTCTGCCTCCTCTCTCCTTTTCATTATCTCGTGCTAGGACAGGCTCATTACTCAGGCAGGCAGGCAAGGAGGGAGGGACGGAGAGAGGGAGGGAGGCAAGTCAGCAAGCATTTGAGAGCACCAGTCCTTTAGCAAGCAGAATAGAGGGAGGAGGGAAGGGGGAAAGGAGGAGAAGAAGTGTAGCCACTTTGACGACAGGCCAAAAAGGAGGAGGGGGGAGCACATTTCTCGCCCCCAGTTGATGCTGGGGCGTTTGAGATCCACAGGGCGCTGCTCTAAGAGATGCAACTGCAGGTGCATCTCGGCTGCTCTAGGTTAAGTGCTCTCCTCCAAGTGGAGCAAAACTCACTCCGAGGCTTTAATGAGTGTTAATGGGAACAGATCACCCGCGTGCTTGTCGAGGATGCCAGCTTCCAGGGCGATATAAATACGCCGTCATCTGCTGCCAACAGCAAGGTCCTTCTGCATTCTGCTCGGGACGGAGGAATAAGTGGGCAGAAATCTGACCTCAGAAATGGCAGTATTAAAAATTATAAAAGTAAAGTGGGATATCATTTTAAGCTCCCCACAGCAATGCGCTACTGCTGATCATAGACGGCCGTTCTTAACAAAGGAACTTCAAAGGGAAACGCCAGAATGAAACTGGAACTGAAGAAGTTCCAGTGCTCCCCCCCCTAAAAAAAAATTCTGGGTACTCTCGTTTTGACTCAAGAAAATCACCATTTGGATAAAAGTACAAAGATTCACAAAACGTTTAGGGGTATGTGTACCCCCACATACCGCCATGGAAAAAAACACTGAGAAGTTCATTTCCATCATTTTTGGCCAGAATAGCAATAATGGTTTATTATTATTATTGTTGTTGTTGTTGTTATTCCACAGCATGTGTGAATTAGCTTACCAATGCTGGGATGTCAATTTACCTTAGTGAATATCCATTGTAATTATTTTACATACATTTTAGCTTTAATGTTATAGTAGTCACAGTGTGTACTTTTTGCATTGCATTTCCCTTCTAAGTTATTGCTTACAGTTCCTCCCTTCCGCAACTCTCATAGATACAGATATATCTATCTCAAACCTTTATTGGCATACATACAAGATTCCAGTAGGCTTTGGTACAATACAACCACTCATCAAAAACCTGCATCTAACACTTAAGTTAATGTTGTATAACACTCACGAATCCTCATTGCGTGTTGCAGAAACCTGACTGCTATCTCCATCTTATCCCCATGACCAATTTAGGGTAACATTTCATACATCTGAGTGAAGTGCACTCTAATTTACAAAATCTTATGCCATAATCTGTGTTAGTCTTTAAGGGGCCATATCCCTGTTGTTTTTACTGTTTACACAGTGTGTAGAAGGCAATAATAATAATGGCTTTTGTGTGTAATGGCTAATTTAAGTGTGATTCACAAGAAAGAACGTTGAGTTTCTCTCAGGCTTGTCGTTAAAAGGATCTCCGAGCCTGTATTTTAAGCGGGTGCTCAGGAGAACATTAGAAATGTAAGATAGAAAGTGGGGAAATGCGGTTCTAACCAGAGAGAAAGAGAGAGCATGAGTGTGCCAGTGTTGCGCAATGGTTTGAGGATCGGACAAGGACCTGGGAGACTAAGGGTCAGCTCTGCCCTTGTCCATGAAGCTCATTGGGTGACTCTGGGCCAGTCACTGCCTCCCATCCCAGGCTTCCTTAACCTCGGCCCTCCAGATGTTTTGAGACTACAATTCCCATCATCCCTGACCACTGGTCCTGCTAGCTAGGGATCATGGGACTTGTAGGCCAAAAACATCTGGAGGGCCGAGATTGAGGAAGCCTGTCCCAGCCCAACCTACCTCACAGGGTGGTTGTGGGGATTGACTGAGGGAAAGGGAGCAGCATGTATATAGGGGTGTCTATGTATAATTATGTATATGGATATCACAAAATTATTCAAAACAGAATCTTCAAAGTTTCCACTCATGGAATAGTCCAAATCCCTTCATTGCCCCCACTTTGTGGAGCAGCAGCACCACCACTGCATCTGCAACTTGGCTGCTCATGTTGACTGTGGCAGGATGGGGCAGTGGGCAGAGGACTATTGGGTCTGATCTCAATGGCAGCTCCAGGTTGGCACAGTGATCGGGTCCAGATTAGGCCCAATGCTGAAGTGTGATGGCAATGAGAACAGCTAGGGAGCTTGCGGGCCCTCAGATAGCTCATCCCACCCTCTGGTGGGCCTCTGGTGGTGAAGAACTCACCAGCCTGCTACCGACCCAGAGAGAAATTTCCACTGAATTTCTCTCTCTCTCCCTCACACACACACACCAGCTTGTCATAGGTGGCGTTTGGACTGCTCTGTATTTTATTACTTAATGTTATAATAAGTAATATTGGTTTTCCCTGCATATTTACTTGTCTTTGACAAAATTACAACCAAATGCTACATTTATAGACTATGGAAAATTAAAGGGGTAAAGCTGAAAACAATGATAATACAATAGTCATCTTCCTCCTGTTTGAAAAGCTCATTGTGCTGTATTGTACAAGATTATGAGCAAAAAATTCTTGTAATTGTAAGAAGAACTGAATGTTTTCATATGCCATTGTTCCCAGTGCTTAATTCAATGCTCACTGCTACAGTCCTCCTGAAGGCAGTGGAGGGCTGACTAAAGGCAAATCTCTTGCTGAATCCCCAACTGATTTCAAAAAGATATATATTGTATTTACACCTTGTTATAGTTGATCACAGAACCCATAACAAATGCATACGCAGCCTTCTGGTTCATTCCTTCATGTAGTTAGCCCCCAAAGTTCACATTACTGTACTATACTGTATGGCTTTCCTTGATGCAGTGGTTCCTAGTCTCTTTTTCCAAGCAAATCACAGCCTTATGGTCACGCTTGGGAATCCAAAGGGTGCACTTCCTGAGACGGAAGAGCACACAATCTCCAACAACTGACAGAACAATTATATGTGCTTGTTTTTCAATAATTATTCATAATATGTGAGTGAGTAAGCAAATGAATTGCTTACTTCCATGGGATCCGATGACCCGATACATCATTAAACAACAGACTGAAGTTCTGGCTCCAAAACACATATTCTCGTATATCTGGCTGTTAATACTTGCAGAAATGTTCAGAATGTCAGCATACTAGCAAGGTGGTGAAATGGGAACGGTGATAATTCAGTAGCAGTGAAAATGTTTTCCATGCAAAAAGCCCCAAGTTTACTCCCCGGCATCTCCAGATAGCTCTGGAAGACACCCCTGTATGAAACCCTGGAGAGCCACTGTCAGGGTAGACCAGTGTTGAGTGAAGCTCCATCCTGTGGGCATAATGAGGTCAAATGGACATCGTACATGACATCTGTCATGAACTGGCAGGACAGCGGTGAGGGGTGTAGCTAGGACTGGGACACACCTATGCAAGCTGGGGATGGGGACGGAGAGATTGGTGTAGGAAGCACTTACAGTAACAGAGGATGATGAGAAGATGTGGTCAGTACAGAGAACTAGAGCTGCAGGACCCATCTCCAGAGCTCTGAGGCATAGGGAGCAGCAGGAGGGGTGCTCCAGGAGGCTGAGGCAGGTAAGGGCCCACAGCCCAACTCCCTAGCTTGCTAGATATGGCTCGCTAGTGCTGGAAGGAGGTATTTGATGTCTCAGCTGAAGTAGGCTTAGAACAGGTGGGGGTCACATGCCTTGTCAAGCCCAGGTGCTGCAATCAGCATGCAAAGGACAAAAGGGAAGCAGAGGTTCGGGGCTGTGTTTACTCAGCAGTCCATGTTGATGAGCCTTGACTTGGTCTTTCCTTGGGCTTCCAATCCCTTGCATTAGCACAGAACATTTGAACTGCAGTCCAGGACATATCTGAAATGGGGGAATAGCATTCTAAAGCCAGAATAAATTTGTCCTGCAGCAAAAGGATGGGAAAAAAAACAAGGAACAGGAAAAAAAATATCCCAGATCATCTGGCAAATCATCCTCAATGTGCTTTTAAGAGGTGTGTGATTAGTAGTACCTTAGAATATACCAGCAGTGCAGACTAGATCCACAAATCCAGAACAGGATGCTAAAGATAATATAATTATTAGTCCTCTCCACACTCCACTTTGCTTATACATTAATTTTACTTTTTCTATGTTCTACTTCCCTGTTTCAAATACCAGAGGAGAAAAATCTGAACTTATCCTTCAAAACAACTGCTTAAAACTACAATAGTATATGCACTTACTTGGAACTAAATCCTACTAGAGTTAGTGAAACTTACTTCTGAGTGAGTATGATTTGGATTTTACAGAGTACTTCCAACTTTCAGTGCTTCCCCAAACCCACAAAATTGGTTCACTGGATAACTCTAACTCTTGGCACCAAGTCAGCTCCGGAAATATCCAGCATTTTGTAGCCAGTGTTTACAGAACATTTTTTACAAGCAATATCCTGGATGAGTTTGAAGATGTGCTTCCAATCTGCACAATGTGAAATGTGCTAAGAAAAAGTACAATAGGGTGGATGAACAGACAGCTCAAGGGATTAGTGCTAGGATACGTGGGAGCATGAATCTTTCTTCTTTATACCTCCTGTATCCCCACTGTGATATCTGAGTGGCCATCAGGTCAGCCATGGGCTAGGCCAGTTATTGTTTTTCTGCTGGCTTTTTAAGGACTTCAGAGAAATTATTCCACCATGGTGGCTATGCAGTGTCACAATGACAGGTACCCACTTTGTTGTAGCCAACTTTTCCTGAAACCGCTAAGTACTGTATGCTATGAAAACAATGCCTCAGGAATACTTGGGTTCTGCATATTCCATCCTGTACTATCAAGACGGCTCTTTCCAGAAATATCATAAAGTAAAGATAATATACAAAAAACAGTCTATGGGTTTTCTTTTCAGCTGAGCAACATCTTGTTCACCTGATCATTGCTTAGATAAGAAAGACAGATGTTGCTATACAT